AGCCAGCCAGGTGCCCCAATAAATAAAATTTAACAGTGTTTTTCATGTCATTATAAACTCTGACCAGAGGCTGTAACCATATGTATATATTTGCTTACTATTTCACCCTGACCATAATTTCTTCAACTAGATCCCAACTTGGGAGCATTGAGGTGGTTTTCCTTTAACTTTTTTTTTATTATTATAAATGATAACTTTGTCGGCATTTGGTTATTTTTTCCACCACGGGTCGGTGCCCATCTACAGAAAAACAGTTCTTCATCTTTGGTTTGGAGACTGGACCCCATCTAATCCCAAGTGGCTCTTTGGAGAGGGCTTGGGTTTCTGTGTATGTATGACTTGTGTTGGGGGGGGTGGGAATCCTCTTTCCGGCGGAGCATGACTAGCAGATTGTGGGTGGTCAATAAATACTAAATGATGACAAGGTGTAGGTTCATCGTGTATTTGTGTTCACGTACATTTCTCTGTGTCCCTGTTTTTGCTCTCGCATATTGAGAGTGGCTATCGTCCTTGTGCAAAACTCGGAATAATTCCATATATGTGCGAGTCTGTGTGTCTCCGTCTGTCAGTGTGGGCGTCTCTATGCACTATGTGTACAGCTCTGTATGTGTATGTGTATGTACGTGTATGTGCACCCACATGACATCTGCCCTCAACAGCGTATTATACACAAATCTGTGCGTGCGTCTGGGTGTGCACATCCAGGTCGGGCCTTGTTTCTTGGGGGCCGTGTGTCTACGTGTTTGTGCGAGCCGAGGCTCAGTTCTGTGTGGATCTGGGAGGGGGTCTCTCTCCGCGTGCTTCCTCGTGCTGGGCCCGGGCTGGTGTGTGAGTGTGCGAGCACTCGAAGGGGGTGTGTCTCTCTTGCTTTCCGCCTGGGAGCAGAGTGGTGCCCAGGGCGGGGGTGACGCACCCTCCCCGAGCTCCCCCAGTCTCCTGGGAACCAGCTTGGGAGAGTGAGTGAGACCGAAAGCAGACTGCGTCAGGAGCACCAGTCCCTTTTGCAACCAGCCCAGGCCCCAGGGGCTTAGTAACCGCGGCTCTCACAGGTCAGACCGGCCCACTGAGCCTGGCTGCCAGGAATCCGGGCTCCCAGCAGGGCTGCACGTCAGCGCCCTCCCTGGGCCTGGGCCAGATCCGCCGCGGTAAGCACAACTCAGCCAGCCGAGGGGCCACATGAGTCACCCTGTGGCAACAGCAGGGAGTGACTTCCTGGGCAGCGCTGGCTGTCCCCGGGAATCACGGCTTTCTGCCCCAGATTGCGGCAACGCCGAGGCAGCCTTATCTCCTCCATTATCACCTTTCGTTCATGCAACCGAACTTCTCCTTAGCTCCAATTTTCAGGTGAAAAGACCGAAGCACAGAGCCCTCTGACAAAGGTGAAACCCGAGCTGGGCCTTGGACCTGGGTTTCCTGACCCTGGGTCCAGGCCTCTTTCTACTGAGCCACCTAGGGCTCCAGGTTTCTGCACCCCTAGCCCTAGAAATGATTCTCTTAGAGGGCAGAGCTGGGAGTGGTGGTTTCTGGGACAGATTCGGTTGTCCTGGGCTGGGGAGTGGGGCAGAGGGAGACGGGGCTGGAGGTGGAATGTGGGGAGAGATGTCAGCACCGAACCAGGCCTGCCCTCCTTGTGGAACATTTTCAAGACTTTCTTCACTGAAGAGAGGATTTGTCCCATAACTGGGATGGATGATCACGAAATTCATTGTCAGGTTCAGGATATTTTTGAGATTGAATGGGAGCTCTATTAATCACCTGTCCTTACGTTCACCCTACTTGTAGCTCCTTTGGAAGGCAGAGCCAGTCATTGTCATCAGCAAGGAGGGCCTCCTTGACCCTCACCTGCACCAATCTGCCTCTCTCCCCAGGTGTCCAAATGTCTCCCTGGTCCCTTGGCAGTGAGGGGCGTTAGGAGAGTCCTTGGGCTCGGAGGTGGCATTGAGGTTCCTTGGGGCCCCTTGAAGCTGGCGGAAAATTAGCCAGCACGAACCCCAGCCAGGGCCACCTGACCCATGATAGCTTCCTCCCTCAGACCTGTGGCCGTATTCTGCCGCCTCTGCCCATTTGCTCCCCCTCTCCAGTACCCTGTAGCAGTTGGGGAACAAGCAGAGCCTGTCCCCAGAGGTCTCCCTCAGGGGACAGTGAGATCACTGTCCAGGTGAGACAGGGGACCCTTGGTTCCTGGGGCACCACCCCAACGGGCCATGTGCTCTGCTGACCACTGCATCTCCCATGGGACCTCCTGTTCCAGCCCCATCCCTGACTTGCCAGGCGACTTTGGGCAAATTACTGCCTTCCTCCTTGTCTGAGTTTCTCTCTGTTGTGAAGTGGGGCTAATACTTTCTGCTCCTCCCTGGCTCCCAGGAGACCTGCAAGGATAAGCAAGATAATAGAGGGGAACTGATTTGGAGGAAGCTATTGAGAGCCAAGTAAGAGGTATCAGTGTTGGCCCGTGTTTACATGGGTGTGGACCTTGGGTTCCCAGCATCTTGGGGCTTGGGACTAGCCCTGACAGCTTCTTGGCCCGGCTCCTGGCTCCTTTGTCCCACTTCCAGAGAAAGGACAAAAACCAAAGCCAGGAGTCTGGTCGTCGGGAGAAGATGATGTCAGCACAAAAAGTTTGGGGCTCAGGAATACTGGCTTAGCTCTGTCCCTAACCACTGGCTGTGTGACCTTGGGCCAATCACTGCCCCTCTCTGGGCCTCAACAACTTGACTCTGACAGCCTCCCTCAGCTCTGCTCTTAGAGACCCCGAGCCTAGAGTCAGGCCAACATCATGGTTTGGGGGATAGAAAGGACCTTGTCATCTAGTCCTTTACTTTCCATAGACTATGATGGACCCCTCTTTGAGGGCCACAGACTCACCCTGGTCAGTCTGATTAACCCAAGTCCTACACTGGTTGCAAAAGGGATCATCTGGGAGAAGGGAAGGGGCTGAGAGAAAATCCGCTAGGAAGACAACCCCAAGTGAGCTAGTGAGTCAGCAGTGTAATCTGTTGTACTCCGTCAGGGTTTGATTCGCCTCTCCCCTCCATGCTTAAAACCTGGCACAGGCCTGTCGTCCTCCCACAGCTGCCTGTGGAAAGGGTGCTGGCTCGTGTCCCCTTCCTCACTACACCTGCCCCCGCCCCCGCCTTCGTCAGGTTTCCATCTGGCTCCTCTCCTCAGCTGGCTCCTTCCGGACGGGCAGGAGCTTTCAAACTCCTCACCTTTGAGCCGCTCTCTTCCGGGTCTCCCACCACCCCTCCAACCACCGCTCCTCTGGGTCCTCTCCCTCCAAGCAGAGGCTCTGTCTCAGGGTTCAGAGTGTTTCTCTCTCCCAGCAATCTCCCACCCCTCCGTTTTCCCCTACCCAGCCCACTCCCAAATCCAGGCACTCGGCCTTCTCTACCAAGCCCAGACCCTCCCAGCTAGAGTGCTGTGGCCTCGCCAGGATGCACCCATGGCCAGGAACACGCAGAGCTCACCGTGTGGCCCAAAGACTACAAAACTCGTATGTTTTTGCTTTGTTTCTGGCCTTTTTATTTATCTATTTGACAGAGAGAGAGTGCGCACAAGTAGGCAGAGGGGTAGACAGAGGGAGGGGGAGAAGCAGGCTCCCCGCCGAGCAGGGAGCCCGATGCAGGGCTCGATCCCAGGACCCCGGGACCATGACCTGAGCCGAAGGCAGACGCTTAATGACTGAGCCACCCAGGCGCACCATTCCTGGTCTTTTTAAATGTTCCTTGTTCTTTTTTGTCTTCTTCCTACTTTATACTCATGTTATCTCATACTTTATAGACCCTTTTAAGCTGCCTTTAAATCCTTCCTCAGGAAGGCAAGGCATAAGCAAATAAAAACTAAGTACCAATGATAAAATCAATAAAACCAGTCTCCGTCTGGTACCTGGGGGCCCCTCACCTTCTCTTTGGTTCTCTCGAAGCTACCCCTCCCACGCGGCCCCGTTTCTGCTGGCAGCACTGTCACCCACCCAGGCTCCCAGGACAGAAAATCTGAAGGCCCCACTGACTCAGTTTCTCCCTCTGCATACTCCAGCTACCAAGCCTTGCAGCGTCTCCCTTCCCCAGATCTCAGAAGCTCTCTCTTCTTTTCCCTCCCCACTGTCTCCATCCCATCGAAGAGCTGCATGGTCTGATGGTTTGTTTCTTACTGGAATATACCTGAATACTTTTTCAAAAGAATAACATTTTCTTATTACAAAAGCAACAGACATTTCTCATAGAAAATTTAGAAAATGCAGCCTGACAAAAAGAAGAAAATGAAAACCACCAGTAATTTTATCAATGAGAGGGAACATTTGGGTAAATACCCTTTTTTCGTTTTGTTGTTCTAAACATATAGCCCTCCCCCCTTTTTTTAAACTCCGCCACAAGGAGCCTCTCAATTTCTTTCTCGGTTTATTTTCTTGGTCATCCTGGTTCTGGGATCCACTGATAGAACCCCCAGGCTCCCCTGCAGTTGGGGGTTAGAAAAGGCAGGCACTCTGAAGGACCCTGTGGGAGAGTCTGGGCCACCCCTCCTCCCCCTCTGCCCCCCAAACTGGCCTTCTGGGTTTAGGGCTATCAGATAGTGCTGAAAGCAACCCCTCCCAAGGGGTTGTAGTCTAGCGCTTGGGTGGGGGAAGGGAGTGGTCTTGTGCAATAGGGCAAACCACTCCTCATTCAGGGCTGTTTGTTTAAGTGGGCAGGGATGAGTTCGGGAGAAACAACCCAGTTTTGCCAGTGTTTATTTGAAGTGTTGGGACCAATAAATTTTATTTTATTATTTTATTATTTTTAAATTTTTATTTATTTATTTAATAAATGAGGGAACACAAGCATGGGGTGTGGAGAGGGGAGAAGCAGGCCTCCCGCAGAACAGGGAGCCCGACGCGGGGCTCGATCCCAGGACCCTGGGATCATGACCCGAGCCAAAGGCAGACGCTCAACGAATGAGCCACCCAGGCACCCCTTTTTTTTATTTTTTAAAGATTTTATTTATTTATTTATTTGACACACAGAGAGAGAGAGCACAAGGAGGGAGAGCGGCAGGCAGAGGGAGAGGGAGAAACAGGCTCCTGGCTGAGCAGGGAGCCTGACATGGGGCCTCCATCCCAGGACCCCGGGATCATGACCAGAGCCGAAGGCAGATGCCCAACCAACTGAGACACCCAGGCGCCCTGGGACCAGTAAATTTTAGAGAAAACTCCCCAGTAGGGGAAGACAGGTTGGGTTAGAAGGGATAAGATGATGGGGGTCCCCAAGTTGAATGAATGTCTGGAGTGGCAGGCTGGCTGGGGCTATGGATGGGTTAGTGCCTGCCCAGCTCAAGGGGACCCAAACTCAGCGCCTGGATTGCTATAGGAATGTGGGCCCCTGATTGCCAGTCTCCTAAGTTTTCACAAAAAGCTAGAAAAGTGGATTTTTTAAAAAATGAATTTTCCTGACTCTTTAAATGTTAGTAACTAATTAAAGAAATTAAACCGCTGTTTGTGTCAAAGCATGACTGGCTGCCAGCATGCAACTTTTCGACTAGCCTTTACTGCACATCTCATGTACTTTACACACGTACCCCTAATTTGCTTGGTGTGGCCTTCTCCCTCTCTCCCTCTCCTGTGGTGCGACCTCTAGTGATAGGGCCTGCTTACCTAGCCACTCCTTCAAGCTCAGTTTGAATTGCTCCTTCCCCTGCTCAAATCTGTCTTCCCCACCATATTCACCAACATTGCCTCTACCCGCCAAGCTCCTGGCTTTCCCTCTCAGGGCTTGAGTCCAACTGAGCAGCTTGTCAGTCCCCAATCAAAACAAGACCCATGATCTTCACTGCCTGGCTTTTACTCACTATGATTTGTTGTGCCTGGAACACCCACACCCACCTGCTCATCTCTTTTTATAACTCCTCCAATGAAGCCATTTCTCAACCTCCCTCTTAATTTCCATGGCTTGATCAGCCTCTGCTTTACTCAACAGCCATTTGTTAGACGCCTTGTATCCACAAGCAGGACCTGGCATGGGGGATACTGAGGTAGTAGATAAGACTCCATCCCTGGGGCGCCTGGTGGCTCAGAGGAGCATGTGACTCTTGATCTCGGGTTCGTGGGTTCGAGCCCCATATTGCATATAGCGATTACTTAAATAAATGAACTTAAGGAAAAAAGAAAAAAAAAAGACCCCATCCCCAGCCCTGCCCGCGGAGCCTCCTCCAGGTAGGGCAGACATACACTACCATGGGCTATGTGCGTGCAGCAGAGCTGTACGCAGCGTGGGGGAGTGGAGAGGGCACCAAGGGGTTTTGGCTGGAGAAACAGCAAACGCTTTTTGAGCTTCATCAAGAGGTAAGTAGAGGCTTTCCAGGGCAAAGAGGCATCTGAGGTAGAGGTAACAGCCCGTGCAAAGGAATGTAGGTGTGAAAGTTCTGAGAAAGGCTGTCACTGGGTGGGGATGGAAAAGAGGATGCCTGGGAAAGTCACAGAAACAAGCGGTTTGGGAACCTGTTTTCTGACAGTATTTGCATTCCTTTTGCCTGCACTCCACAGGGTAAGTTCTAGAAGAGCAGAGGCTGCGTCTCAGCTTTCATGGCTCCACACCTGCTACCTGCCTGGGACTAGTACCTTCGCTCAAACCCTTGTCGTGAAACACAGCGCCTGGTAGTCGTGAGAGTGCCCCCTAGCGGCCCCTGTGCAATCCTTCTTCCCGTTGTCCTAGCAGACCTGGCTGAGCCCTCCCTGCATCCCCTGTATTTCTGGGGGTGGCACTTTGCCTGGCACCGTCTCACCTCATCTCCACTCCTCCCTAAGAGGAGGCTGTTCCTTTCTGTCCAACAAACACCTATTAAGCATTTATTTATTTATTATTTATTTATTTGAGAGAGAATGAGAGACAGCACGAGAGGGAAGAGGGCAGAGGGAGAAGCAGACCCCCCGCTGAGCAGGGAGCCCGATGCGGGACTCGATCCCGGGACTCCAGGATCATGACCTGAGCCGAAGGCAGTCGCTTAACCAACTGAGCCACCCAGGCGCCCCTATTAAGCATTTATTTTGCGTTGATCACTGTTGTAGGCATTGGGATACACAATTTCATGAATCATTCATCACCTCAGCCTTGGAGGTGCTTCAGAGATCCAAGGGATAATGGGGGTTGTCCCCAGTGCTAGGGGCACTAGAGGAACTGAATCCATTTTGAGCCCTGAGGGATGGCAGAGCAGGAAGCCAAAATTCGGTGTCCTATGAAATGGGGGCAGCTGGAGTAACGAGGCTTGTCACTGCCATCTATCCACTACCATTTACTAAGGTCATGGAGCTATGTGGGGTGACAGAGACCCAGAGACGACAAAGATACCATCTGTTGTCTCCAGGAGTTCACAACCCAGAGGGAAGACAGATAAGGAGACAGGAGAAGGGGGCATTCTGTGCTCAGGGTTCTGTTAGCAAGACACCAGGGCGTCTCCCACCTGAGTGTGCGTGGGAGAAATTGGGGAAGAACAATTAGGCCGAAAGATGAGAAAGGAGGATGTGGTCCAGGATGAGTGCAACAGTTACAAAAACACAGTAGTGTGAGAGTTAGCCATCGAAAGGAGGCGCATCCTGGGGTGCTAGAAAGGTTCTGCTTTTTGATCTGGGTGCTCGCCTCCTGGGGTGTGTGTGGTTATGGAAATTTATGGAGCTGTACACTTCCAGGAGTCAAATATGTACCTTCACCTTCAATCATTTGTAGCCCCCAAACTCTCACATCTTTTTTTTTAAGATTTATTTATTTGAGAGAGAACATGAGCAGGAGGGGCAGAGGGAGAGTAAGAGAGAAACCCAAGTAGACTCCACGCCCAGCTTGGAGCCTGACACGGGGCTGGATCAGATGACCTTGAGATCAGGACTTGAGCTGAAACCAAGAGCCAGATGCCCAAGTCAATGTGCCACCCAGGTGACCCTCCATGTTATTTTTCTGTATAGCAATTATTGCAATCTAAAAGTATCTCTCTGTTAAGACTAGGAGCCATGTTAGGATTTGAACCCAGTCCTCCAGTATCAGCTCTAGGACCCTGGGAACTCAGCTTTGCTGAGTCAGCTTCCTGGAAAATGGGGGTAATAGTACCTTCCTCACAGGGCTGTGTGCCGAGGTAAGAACTTGAGATACATAAAGCCCTTACGCATGCTTCCTGCATGCTTATCTTGACAATATCAGATTGGCGGTGTAGGGCACATAGCTCCTCAATATATAATTTGTTGAGATGAATGAAAGGATGGCTTTTTTTGACACCAAACAAAAAGCGGCTGAAACAGATGGAGGGGTGTGGGCTGGAGTACCTCAACCAAAGGCCCCCGGGCAGGAGCTCAGAGCCTGGCGAGCAGCAACACCCCTGTGAAAAAGCCAAAGCTTCTGTGGGTGGGCAGGGGAGACAGCGGTGACCTGGGCCCCCACACCAAAAGGAGTGGAGATAAGAATCAGAGTTCAAAGCCATGCTCCCCGCCGCCCTTGAGTTCTCCACTACATGCTGCAGTCAGGAGCTGCCCCAGCGACCGAGCAGACCTGTTGACAAGGCTCACCCCAGGAAGAAATCCTGCTACGCGGCAGCCTGACAGCCTCCTGGGCCCCCTTCTTCCATGGCCCTCTCACCCCTCCCCTCTGGTGGTCAAACTTGGCAATTCTCTCCACCCTCAGAGGCTGGGGCAGTTTCGGGAAGGGTGGGAAAACCTGCTGAACAGGGTGGCCGAAGCCCAAACCGGTTGGACGGGGCAGTCCTATCCCCCCCAGCAGCCCTGTCCCTCTCCTGCCCCAGACAGCGGAGGCAGCAGCCTCACAGAACCAACCATTTTATTACACTGGGGGTGGACTGGGCCCCGGGGAAGGCAGGGGAACAGGGGGGGTGTGATGCCTGAGAGCCCTGGGGCGTGCGGGGACGATACTGCACACCAGGCGCCGTGGGCCAGGCCAGGCCAGGCCTCATTCTTGGGGGAAGGGAAGAGGCAGCCTCTTTCCACTCCTCTTACCCATCCCCATGGCATTAAATAAACAAAAAGCAACTCTATACAGCACAAAATATACAGGGACGTCCTTCCCCCCAGCCCTGACTGTGCAGGGTGGGAGGGCCAGCTCTGAAGGGCACCGCCAGGGGGCCTCCAGCTTCTGACATTGCCCCAGGCCCCTTCCCAACGCCACAGGGTGGGGACAGGCAGCTTTGAACAAGAAACAAAACTTCAACTTCTTCTGAAATCCTAGGCTGACAGGTCCATCTGTGTGTGGGACTCTGGGCTCAAAGGTCTTCCGCTCCTCCCAGGCCCTGGAGCTTTGTCAGGAATGAGAGGCCTAAGCTTAGCTAAGACATCTCCAGAGGGGCCGGAGCCCTGCCTCGGAAGCAGAGTGGGCCTGGGAAATAGCTGGAGGAGCCTGGTCCCAAAGTCCTCCGCAGCCCAGGCTTCCATCTTGGCAAGGAGGAAGCAGCGCCGGGCAAGAGCCGGAAAGAGCCCAGGCGAGCCCCCAGCTCAGAGGGGCCGGGTCGTGTGGTTATAGACCAGGTGCTCCGTGTCCTCTGTGGTGGAGACCGTGGAGCTGGCAGGGGTAGGGGGCTGGAGGTGGTCGTTGTGGTGGCGTCTGCGGAAGCCCTTCCTCTGGTTCTTGAAGAAGCAGTAACCCAACAGGGCTATCACCACCACGATGCAGGCGACCAGGAGTACTGCAATGGCCGCCTCCACGGAGCCTGGGGGAAGAAGGGGCGGAACGGAGGAGAGCTCCCGGGGCCGCTCAGCTCTGGTGCCCACCCCCACTCTGCGCAGAAGGGACCAAGTCAAACGGATGCCAGGTGTGGAATGGCCTCCAGCGTAAGAGCAGCCGGGCTCCGTCAGGAGCTCAAGGAAAGGCCCGCGACTCTGACGGCAAACACATGACACGCACTCCACTGTGCTTCCCTCCTCTGCCTGTAGCAGGTATCACCACTGGCCGTGGGCACTCTGTCCCTTTAGCCAACCTCAGGATCCTTCTCAACACAGTTTTCGGCAGTCACCACCAATCACGTGGAGCTGATCCTTGAGAGGATACCTACTCGTCCGTGAGAGGGCAGACCAGGGCTCACCTATGTTAGGAATGGGGCTTTCCCGGCGCAGGCCAAAAACATCCTTCTCTACAAAATGATGAGGAGAGAAACAAGTCAATACTCAAGGCTCTGAGACTCAACTGCTCCCCAGTGCCCCCAGACCACCCACTGGCCCCCTCCGCCACCCCCATCCCAGGGACTCTGATGATCAACTGGAGCCAGCCCAGGCCTTGGGACAGAGCAGAGTGCTCTAGCTAAGCCCTTCCCCTCCCCGTCTTCTGGGCCCCAGTGCCCAGCTCACTGGAGATGCCACGACAGGACGCAAGACACTGCTGCTCCTCCTCGAAGTTGTTCTTGTTGCCGTAACAACCACCGTAGGTAAAGCGGGCGCAGCGCTCGCTGAAGGGGTTGTAGTACCAGCGTGGGATGTTCTCCAGGCAGAGCCCTGTGTCTGGCAGGTCCACACAGTGCCCTGGGGGATAGGGGCAGGCCAAGGGGTGAGTGAGTCCATGGGGGGCCTCCCTGCCACCATCCACCAGGCTCCACATTGGAGGGTGCTGCTTGCCACCTCCTGCCCCGCCTCATGCTGAGACTCAGTGAGGGCCTCAGGGGGCCCCAGGAACAGCCCCAGCTGGCCCTTCCGCACTTCTGCCAGAAGCAAGGAAGACAGATCCTGGACAACGATTTTAGGCACAGAAATACCCTACCTTGACTCACATAACTATTTTTTTTTTTCCAGTTTTCTTTCAGCTTTTCCGATTGTGTCAAGGTCTCGGTTTTCTCTCCAGCACTGGACGGTCTAGCTTTTAACAAAGAAGGCTCAGAGTCTGAGCCCTGGCGGGCAACAATGTCCAGCTAAAATCTATTAACATTGTTTTGTTATAGTTATCTCAATAGTTCATCTCGATTTGTAGCATGTAACAGTGGCTTGCCATTTATGCTAGTGATATGACATTTCCTTTAATACATTAAGTTTAAAAAGTACTTGATTTTGGGGCGCCTGGGTGGCTCAGTTGGTTAGGCATCTGCCTTCGGCTCAGGTCACGATCCCAGGGTCCTGGGATCGAGTCCCGCATCGGGCTCCCTGCTTGCTCAGTAGGGAGTCTGGTTCTCTCTTTCACTCTCTCTCTCGGCCCCTCCCCATGGCTCATTCTCTCTCTCTCTCAAATAAATAAATAAAATCTTAAAAAGAAAAAGTACTTGATTTATAGGAAAAATGGTAAGTAAATAAAATCTCAGGGATATGCAGGCATGGTTAAATCTCCGGAGGTGTTCAGAGGAGGACCCATGCTTGGGAAACACCAGGCGCCCACCAGCTTTCTACCTGCACCTGGCGCACCCAGCGGGCCCCTCGGGCGCCCTGCCGGCCTCTGTCCCGACCCAAGGGACCCGGGGAGGAGCTCACCTTTGTCACTGCGGAAGTGGATGTTCTGGAGCTCCTCGAAGCCACTGGTGTCTGCAAAGATGGAAGGTCAGAGGCGCGCGCCCCAGAGGGCCCCCTGCGGCCCAGCGACCCTGCCTGCCCCAGCCTCACATTTCTCACAGGCGGCCTCGTCAGAGGCATCAGGGCAGTCGGCCGTGTCGTCACACTCCAGGAAGCTGTCGATGCAACAGCCGTTGCGGCAGCGGAACTCGGTGGGGTGACAGGTGCCAGAGCACACTGGGTGGGCGGGACGGCGTTAAGGGTGAGGTCAGGCTTGCGCATAGGTCACCGAGTCCCAAGAGTCCATCATCTACCTGGCCTCCTCTGCCCCAACACGGCATTATGACATGTCCCCTGCTCCCCTCCAGTGCCCCTGCTCCCCACAAACCCCCCTACACACAAACTGGGCAGATCCTGAGAAGGTGCTGGGCCGCAAGGGGTGGGGCACTTGTGGTCCTTCCACATCCTACGAGGGCAGGCATGGCTGGGCAAAGGCAGCTGGGGCAGAGACAAAGACATGACCCAGCAGGGGTGAGGGGAACAGGGAAAGGAGCAGAGCTCACCTGGACCATGCCTGTCCAGTGAGGGGCCTGGGAGAGAGAAAGCAGATGAGTGAGAGGAGTTGGGGCCGGGTCCCAGCAGGGACGAGCTGACAGGGGTGCCTGGGAATGGAGGACTGCCCCTGCCCACTGCCCTGACCGGCAGAGGGACCACCCACCCTGGGGGAAAGACACCTGAGTCCCAAAGCTGCCTTGTAAAGGCCCACCTTGCACATCCCGGCAGGCTAGCTTGCACTCCTCTTCCCGAAGATAGTTGTTCTTATTGCCCAAGCAACCTCCGTAAACGAAACTCTTGCAAATCCGTTCTTTGGGGTCGTAGTACCAGCGAGGGAAGGAACCGCGGCAGCGGCCCACCTTGCTGGACGCAAGGCAATATTCTGGGGGGAGGAAAGCTTGTGAGGGGCCCCCGTGGGGCCCCATCAACAGAGGGGGTTGGCTCCAGGTACTTCCTCCCCACCCGCTCCCTCACCTTCTGTCTGCTTGGGGGACAGCACAGTAACTGTGATGTTGGTCATGCTCTCTGGCTGGTCGGAGTCAGCCGCTGTCAGCTGGAACAGGTAGGTGCCTTCCTTGAGTCCCCACAACTTCACCTGGTCCGGCTCATTCTTCTACACACAGGAGGAGCCATCAGGCTGGGACCCCCGATGCCCTGCGGCTGCCCGAGCTCCTCCCAGCCACACAGCCACCCCATACGGAGGGCAGAGGGACTTGGTAGTAAATGGATCCCCAGCTTCTATCCACCCCACCCATCTGGAACCTCAGGTTGGCCCGTGGCCCTGGAAAGGGGGCCCTAGAGAGCTGAGGTGGGGGTCAGAGAGCCAGCCCAGTGTCTCACCTCTACTCTGACATCCGCGTCACCTTGCAGTAGGTACCAATCTGTGTTCCCCATATCCTTCAGCACCAGGGGTTCCTGGGGCTGTACCTTCAAGTCTATGCCTGCCCACACCTTGGGGATCCGGGACCCTGAGGGGGAAGGTAAGGTCAGGTCAACTCTCACTGAATGGACCAGAGCTCTCCTGAAGTGGGGGAGCAACATGGGCCACATGGGAGAGGGAGAAACAGGCTCCCCACTGAGCAGGGAACCCAACTCGGGACTTGATCCCAGGACCCTGGAATCATGACCTGAGCTAAAGACAGATGCTTGACCAACTGAGCCACCCAGGTGCCCCCGAAGGCATTTTTAATGTAAAACCTGCTTTTGGAAGCAAAATACGGAACAGCATGTGCCATTTGATCCCAATTAAGGAAAAAATATACGTGGGAAAGGAGCTTATTCCTATTTTCTATAAGCAGGTACCTGTGCTAATTGCTTTAAAAAGTTAAAGTAACAGTATTTTTGAAAAGCCAAACAAGTAAATATGTAATTAACACTATTACCCCTCATTCTGCTGGTCTGGATTGCTGCTGAGAAGCCCAGCCTGGTAGAGGTCTGAAGCACAGAGTCCCTGGGCAGCAACGTGGCAAGCCTTGGTGTCCCAGAGCATATAGTCGCAGGAGGAGGGTGCCTGCCTCCCCTTACAAGGGGTCTCCAGGGAATCACACCCTCCCTCAGCCTGACAATGTCTGTGCCCGAGGCTTCCACCAGTCTCAAGTTAGGGGCTGGGGAGAAACAAGTCCCAAGCACGATTCCTGCCTGTAGTGGGATGAATGGTGGGACCCAAAACATATGCCTTTGTCTAATTCCAGAACTTGTGAATGTGACCTTATCTGGAAAAAGGGTCTTAGCAGAAGTAACTAAGTTAGGCATCTCCATATGAGATCATTCGGGATTAGCTGGGTAGGCCGATGCAACGACACATGTCTTTATAAAAGACAGAAAAGGAGAAAACAAAATGAAGGGAAGCTGGGTCAAGAGGGAGGCAGAGCCCAGAGTGATGCAGCCGCAAGCCAAGGAAGGCCTGGAGCCGCCAGGAGGTGGAAAAGGCCAGGAAGGATCCTCTCCCGCTCTTCAGAGAGACTGCAGCCCTGCCAACACCTGGATTTTGGACTTCTGGCCTCCCGAACTGTAAAACAATAAATTTCTGTTGTTTGAAGTCACCCAGTTCATAGTACTTTTGTTTCGCCAGCCATAGGAATTGATACACTGCCTCTGCCTCTGAGGGGACTCCAGTCCAGTTGGGCAGATGAGACTGAGCATCAGGAAGCAACATGGGAGAAAAGACCCACCAAGATGAAGCAATGCGTGGTGCGTGTCCAAGACAAGGAAGTGGCCACGCCACAGCAAGTTAGAGGAAGGAGGGAAGGCTTTCTGGAGAAGGGAGAAGGGATTTTTAAAATTCTTTTGTTTGGGCTTTTTTGGGGGGTTGCTTATGGGGAAGAATGTACTGTGCTATTGGTAACAGCCGAAAAGGTGAGCAAAAGCAAGGAGGTGGGAATTTGCAAGGTAGGTCTGGCGGACAGGAAAGAGGCCAGCGGGGTGAGCCATGCCTCAAAGGGCCCTCAATGCAGAGCCAGAGCATGCGGACACAGCAGAAGTGACGTTCAAATATTTAACACCTGGGCTACCGGAAGGGGCCATGCGTGGTGGTACAGAGTTCTGGGCCACAGATGCATCGGACGCTGACCTCCTAGATGCATGAACGAGGTCAGGAGTCTGAAGGGTTAGGGAGCCCTCTGTCCTGAATTACATTTTTTTTTTTTTTAAGATTTTATGTATTTATTTGTCAGAGAGAGAGAGAGAGCACAAGCAGGGGGATCTGCAGGCAGAGGGAGAAGCAGGCTCCCTGCCGAGCAGGGAGCCCGATGTGGGACTTGATCCCAGGACTCCGGGATCGTGACCTGAGCCGAAGGCAGATGCCCAACTGACTGAGCCCCCCAGGCGTCCCTATCCTGAATTACTTCTACGGAGCGAGGAGGCCAGTGAGTGGACCAGCGCAACAGTCCAGGGCACACTCGAAGGGAGTAGTTGGAATTAGAGGGATAGCTAAGGGAATGGAAAGGAGGATGTGAGAATGCTAGACAGACACTTCAGGCTTCCGTGTTTGACAGGCACTGAGAAGTGGGAAGGAAGGGTCAGGGTGCAGACAGAAAGGAAACCCAATCTAGAGGGAACCTGTGGGTTCAATCAGAGAAGTTGAACTTGAGGGAAGACCATTGAGAGAAGTGACCAGCAGGCAGCAGAAGTGCACATGGGAGCAACTGAGAGGCCAGAGTTGGAGAAAGATATGCAGCTGGGTTTATTAACAAAGCTGCCAAGAGTTTAATGTATGCTGGCCACCACACATCATCTATCTGCATCATCTGCAGTAGATGTTGACAAGCTATGGCCTGCAGGCCACATCTGGCCCACCACCTGTTACACTTTTAAATGGTTGAAAAAAATCAAAAGAATAGTATTTTGTGACATGGGGAAAGCACCTAAGATTCAAATTCGTGTCCATGAGTTGGAATATGGCTTCACCTATTCGGTTACATATTGTCAATGGCTGCTTTTGCGTTATAAGAGAGCGGAGTAGCTGGAACAGAGATTGTACGGGCCACAAAGCGTAAAATATTTCCTATTTGAACCTTTACAGAAAATTTGCTGACCCCTGATCTACGTTACCTACCTTCCTAACCATCCTGCCGCAACTGCATTCTTGCCCCTTTCCAGATCAGAAAATTGACACCAGAGAGGTTCAATGACTTCCCCAGGGTCACTCAGTTTTTGAACAGCAGAACTGGGATCTGAACCCTGGTCTATCTGACTTCATAGCTCTTTCTAAAACACCGTGCTGCTGGTCACCCATTTACTTAGAAATGTGATTTTGATTGCTTTTTATAATCTCAGGGTTGTTTTTAACTTAGGTAGTACATATATAGGATAAAAAATTCAAAAAGTACAAAAGAGGGGCACCTGGGTGGCTCAGTCAGTTAAGCATCTGTCTTCGGCTCAGGTCATGATCTCAGGGTCCTGGGATCGAGCCCTACATTGGGCTCCCTGCTCAGTTGGAGTCTGTTTGTCCCTCTGCTCCTCCCCTCCTGCTCATGCTCTCTTTCTCTCTCTCTCAGATAAATAAATAAAATCTTAAAATTAAAAAAAATAAGTACTTAAGAGTTGGGGCGCCTGGCTGGCTCAGTCGGTAGAGCATGTGACTCTTGATCTCAGGGTTGTGAGTTTGAGCCCCATGTTGGGTGTAGAGATTACTTAAAAAGTAAAATCTTACCCTCAAAAAAGTACAAAAGAGTAGTGAGAATTAAATCTTGTCTTTTCTTAACCTTCTCTCCTTAACCTCTCAGGTTCATCTTGCCCAAGTTCTCCTTGTTTTTCCCACAATATGTTTTGGAAATCATTCCATAGCAACATGGAAACAATTTCCCTTTTTTTTTTTGGTTGCACAGTACTCATTATATGAATGCACCGTAACTTACAATTTAATTAATCAGTACACCAGTCTCCTCTTGATTTAGATTCTTTTTTTCTTTCTTCTCCTCTTCCTTCCCTACTAAGAACTAAACCATATTGCCTCAGGTTTATTATTTTTATTAAAACAGCATTACCATATCCAGTTATAGGATGTGTTGACGGACATTAGATTGTTTCCAATTCTTTGCTATTATAAACAATGCTACAGTGAGTAACTGGCTGGTAAGTTGGTTTATACACATGTAAGTACAGCCGCAAGATGAATTCCTACAAGTGGAACTGTGTTGAGGGTTATGTGCATTTACAGGGCTTTTAAAAAGTTTTTATTTATTTATTCATTTAACTAATCCCTACACCAAACGTGGGGCTCGAACTCACCATCCCGAGATCAAGAGTCGCAAGCTGTTCCGACTGAGCCAGCCAGGTGCCCCTGTTTACAGTCTGGATGGATACTGCCAAACTGCCCCCTACCAAGGCTTTACAGAGAGTTATGTCAGGCGTTAAGAGTGAGTTGAAAGGAAGAAAAGAAGGTAAAGAGATAAGAACGCTGGTGGGGGGCTGAGTCACTGAGATTCCTCTTTGATGAGGCAGAGTCACAGAGGGTGGACCCAAGGGGGAAGACCGGGACACACAGTGACAGTGAAGGGATGGGAGGGGAGAGCATCCACAGAAAAACATGTCAGATGCAGGTGTAGAGGCCTAGAATGAGAAAAGGAGGCCCTGGCTTCCAGGGGTTGCGAGGGAAATAGAACCAGAAGAGCAGGAAAGAAAAGCACCTGTCTGGACCAAACCCGCACCCTGGTGGCTTGGCTGGCAATCAGTAGAGGGTCCAACAGGGCAGGTTCTGGGGTGACCTCTGAGAGACAAAGCCACGGGGGTGCCTCCCTCCTTACATTTTTCAGAAAGTCATCAGCTGAAGACAAGACCCCCTGGCAGTCTACCTAGCAGACAGATAGGCTAGCCCCACCAGCCCTGAGGGTGGCAGTGGACAGCGGAGTGATGGAGTGACGCATCAGGCCTTGGGCCAAACCAGCAACATCCACCCAGTCCCAGGCCCCGGGAGCAAGGGGCAGATGCCCCACCCTACCACTCCCTACTTCCTAGCCCCCAAGAGGGCAAAGGGCCAGAGGGGCAATAAAGCCAGCTCCTCCCCCAGCTGCTGGGTCTCCAGGAAACACAGACTCCACCTCCTAAGCCACTCCTCCAATAGAAAGAGTGGGAGGGCAAGTGAGGGGAATGAAGGAAGGAGCAGGGTGCTCCGGGAGGCCATAGGAATCTGGACTGGACTGGCCACAAACAGGGAAAGGGGAGCAAGCCAACCCACCCTGGGGAGGATCTCTCTACCCCATGCAAGAATCAAAGGTTTAGATGCCCCGAGCACCTGCCCACCTTGCCTGTCTTGGTCCATCTAAGCCTCCAGGATGGCTTTATCCAAGCTCAGCTGAGAATGGACTCCTTGTTACCAAATAGCTCCCCCCACCCCCCAGAGCACTGTAGCACCCTTAAAATGGCCGGGAGCTCACATTCAGTTCACGCCCTACCCAGCTCCCTCAATGACCCAGGAAGTCCCCACTCCACCCTGTGTTGTGCCAAACAGGCCAGTCTGGGGTGGGGGTGGGCAGGTTTCCAAATGAGGAAGGCTCCATTTGAGCTGGAGCCCCATCCAGCTCATCTCCCTGACCAGAACCCAGGGTTTTAGGTTCTGGCCCTGGAGTGGGACTCCCATGGACCCTCTGTCAGAGCAGGAAGGCATAAGCAGCTCAGGTCGATTCATGTCATCACCACCTACACTCTGTGCTACTTCCTTGTGGAACAGGCTCAGGCCCTGGACCAGTGGGATTCAGGTGGCCCAGCCTGAGAACCTGCCCTGTTGGACCCTCTACTGATTGCCAGCCAAGCCACCACTCTCCACCTCCCCCACCCAGAATTCCCATCCCATTCCCTCTCCCCTCGGAGAGCCAGGACAGCTACTGGAAGGATAGGGAGAAGAGTAGGTCCTTAACCTGAGAGAGACTGGCCCAGGAAAAAGCTGGACAGTCTCTTTTCGACTTTCCGGAACTGAGACCACCCCCAGACTCAGCACCAGCCCAGTCCTGGCCCCTGAGTTCCCCAGTCTCTGGTTCTATTATCTGCTGGGCTATCTTGGGTCAGAGTGCTAGGTTTCTACCAAAAAAGATGGTCTTGTGCGGAAAAACAGCACAGGACTTTGGGAGATCCTGCCTGGGTTGAGTCCCACGTCTCCCATTTATGGGCAATGCTATCCTGGGCAAATTATTTAACATGGGAGTCAGTTTCCTAATCTAAAAAGTGGGCTGATCATCAAAAGGAATGAGATCTTGCCATTTGCAACGACGTGGATGGAACTGGAGGGTATTATGCTGAGTGAAATAAGTCAAACAGAGAAAGACATGTATCACATGACCTCACTGATATGAGGAATTCTTAATCTCGGGAAACAAACTGAGGGTTGCTGGAGTGGGGGGTGGCGTGGGAGGGATGGGGTGACTGGGTGATAGACACTGGGGAGGGTTTGTGCTCTGGTAAGCACTGTGAATTGTGCAAGACTGTTGAATCTCAGATCTGTACCTCTGAAACAAATAATGCAATATATGTTAAGGAAAAAAAAAAAAGAAGAAGATAGCAGGAGGGGAAGAATGAAGGGGGGGAATCAGAGGGGTAGACAAACCATGAGAGACAATGGACTCTGAAAAACAAACTGAGGGTTCTAGAGGTTTAGGAGGATGGGTTAGCCTGGTGATGGGTATTGAGGAGGGCACGTTCTGCATGGAGCACTGGGTGTTATGCACAAACAATGAATCATGGAACACTACATCTAAAACTAATGATGTAATGTATGGGGATTAACATAATAAAAATAAAAAATAAAAAAATAATAAAAAGTGGGCTGACGACTAATAGCACCCTTTTCAGAAGTGGTTGTCAGGAGGCCGAAGTCAGAGGTGAGTGGCCACAGCAATCAGTCAACTATCAAGTGCGAACAGAGGTTATCAGCTGTGACCCATCCCTGCCCTGGAGCCCCACCTGGCCAGAGCAGCAGGCAGAGAAAATGGGGAATGAAGGCCTCTGGAGGGGCCGTGATCCCAGCTCACTGCTCGGTCACAGGAGGAGCCCCCACTTTGCCCTTATCCCTGGCAGTAAACAAGGTGAGCAGACCTTGTAGCTTGGCCACCACATCCTCAGCTGGGAGAGCCCTGCCTGGCTCACCGCGTACACACACACCTGCCCGCACAGCTGACATCCCTCCCCGACCAGGCACACATACCAGCGGGCTGACTCACGCGCAACCCTCCTCACCCCCACCCCAGAGCCTCTGGCTACTGTGCCCACAACACCACCCCTTCCCCTTTTAGGTCAACCCGACTGGGCTTGTCCTTTAGCATCTGGGGTCTGGCGCTTTTCCCCAGACCACCAAAAGGCCAACAGGTGGGAACAGGGGGTGCAGACAGATGCTAACCAATCCCAGCCCGGCAGTAAGGGAGCAGACTATCCTACCCCAGGCTCACTTGCCGGGGCCTCAAGGTGCCTAGAACAGTGCTTGGCCAGGGGTGCTTAGCTTGTCACCCTGAGGCCTCCAGACAACTCACTCCCTGACTTCGCATATTAGGGTCAGCAATCAGGAATCGCGAGGAGCTGCCTCCTCTCTCCCAAACACATATCCCAAAGCACCAGCCCATTCAACATCCTGAATTCCGGACCCAGAGTCTGGGCTCTAGAATGTTACCCCTCCCCACTCACGCAGCCTGCCCTTTGTTCACTGTTCATACAGCCTACTTCTAAGGAGGAGTCGGGGCACAAAGAGACAGTCCGCCTTACTGCTTTCTGATGCTCGCCTCCCCCAAGACTTCATAACCAGCCCCCTTGCTGAGTCTCCCCAAATCCATCCCACCCGTTCCCCTCGTCCTTACCGCCAAAGCCCTGGGTCCGCAGCTCGCGGTAGGAGTGGTAAACCTCCCGCTTGAGGTAGTTGATGAAGCCCTCCCTGGGCGCGAACTTGCACACGAAGTTCTGCTCGTAGAGGCAGTTCATTAGGAAGCAGGCGGCAATGGCGTCCTCCCCGCCGTCGGGCTTCAACTCCACCAACGCCAGGTTGCAGTTCTGGGTGGTGCAGCAGGCGCGCACGCAGTCCCAGCCGCGGCGCACGGTGGGGGAGCCCAGGAAGGTGGCCCCGTTGCTGACCGAGGCCTCGGTATCGAGCACGAAGGCAGGCACCCCGGCGGTAAAGCGGTCCAGGCAGGGGCCTCCCGGGGGCAGGCCGGGGGGCGCGGGCGGCGGCCCAGCCTCGGTGCCCAGGAGATCGAGCGCGCACAGGAGCCACACGGCGACTGCTGGGACGTGGGCTTGGGAGAGGCGGGCGCAGGCCATCATCCTCCCCGGGGCCGTCGCCCTTCTCCCCACGGGGGTCACCTTCACTGCGCGGGCCTCTGGGCTCCGAGGGTGCTAGCGATCTGAAAGAGGGGAGGGGATGGGGGAGGAGACACACCGGATCAGCCGGACACTTCGAGGGAGGCGGGCCAGCCAGGAGTAAGTCGAGGGGCTGGCTGGGGAGCACCCGGCGCGCGGGGAGCGAGGAGGGGTACGCGCGCCCAGCCCTCCCACGCACGCTCCGGTGAGCCGGCCGCCGGACGGACGGCCAGATGGACGGCTAAGGAGCTCCCGTACCCGGACACTCGCGGCAGCGCCGGACAAAGGGCCAAACATGCTCCGAGGCCGCTCCGTCCCCGCCTCGCGCTCCGGAGCCCGGGTTACCTGCTCAGGTGAGTGGGGTGGGGCCGAGCCTGCCGAGGTTCCGGTCCCGGCTTCCTGCGCGGCTGCGGCCGCCGCTTCCGCCCCGGTGCAGGGTACGCTGGGGCTCGGCCACCTCCTCCTCAGGTTTCTGGTGAAACTGAGTCAGTGCGGCCGGGGCGGGGCGGACATTAACCCTAACACCGCCGGCCCCGCCCACGCCCGGTGCGCCGCCGCCAGCCCTGCCCTGCAGAGCTCCGCAGAACGGCCGCGGCCCCCGACCTCTCCCGCGCCGGCTGCTGCCCGCAGGGGCTCCGAGCGGCGCCCCTCCGCGCTGCCCTATGCCGACCCCGCGGAGTCCAGCCTCGCGGCGGGGTCCCGCGCCCCGGAAGTGCAGCCTGATCCCCGGAGGCCCGGACACGGCCGGGACGCAGCAGCCAAGTCGTCCCCTCGAGGGTCGGGAGCTCCGGGGCGGCTGCCTCCGGCCTCCCTTTCAGGTCGGGGCCATCATTCCTAGCGTCAGGCCTGAGGCGGGGTGAAGGGGCTGGGGGCGGGGGGAGAAGGAAAGCCCTTTGCAAATGATCTCGCGGGCGTCGTCAGCCCTCGGGGAAATCTTTTCCGTCTCGTGGCGGGAAGAGATCCCCGGAAGCTGTGGGGCTGCACCTTTGATAACTGGAATCCGGGATGCCTGCTCCAGCGTCACCGCCCTTGCCAGCTCCGGGAAGCCCTCCTTTCTGCCAGAGTGAGCAACTGAGGCGGTTCCCTCTTCCACGCTTCCCTGCGGGTCCTACAGTGGTTCCATTGCGTTTGAGGCCCTTCCGTATCTTGTACCAAGGCTTACATTCGGGTCTCTGTCGGAGCTGAGTCCCTGTTAGCTTGCTGGTCTGCTACCTCGTCCCCTGGAGCACAGGTTCCCTCTTCTCTCCCACGAAGAGGGTGCCCCTGGTCAAGAGCTAGCCACCTCTTCCAGTAGAATGCCATCCTTGGAAGCTAGAGGTTCCAGCTCATCAAAGTAGTTGAGATAATGACCTTCACAGAACGGTGAGCTCCTTGAAGCCGAGAGTGAAGAACTGCTTTTTTTTTTTTTTTTTAAGATTTTATTTTACTTATTTATTCGACAGAGAGAGATAGCGAGAGAGGGAACACAAGCACAGGAGAGCTGGAGGAGAAGCAGGCTCCCACAGAGCAGGGAGCCCCATGCGGGGCTTGATCCCAGGACCCCGGGACCATGACCCGAGCCGAAGGCAGGCCCTTAACGACTGAGCCACCCAGGCGCCCCCCCCCCTTTTTTTTTAAGATTTTATTTTATTTATTTGACAGAGAGACAGACAGCGAGAGAGGGAACACAAGCAGGGGGAGTGGGAGAGGGAGAAGCAGGCTTCCCGCGGAGCAGGGAGCCCGATGCCGGGCTCGATCCCAGCACCCTGGGATCATGACCTGAGCCAAAGGCAGACGCCTAATGACTGAGCCACCCAGGCGCCCCAAGAACTCCTCTTAATAGACCCTACAGAGCAAGATTGGTCCTATTAATGCTCTCCTAAAAAAGAGATTGCACACCTTTTCACAGTGACTAAACAAACCCCGCCCAGTGGAACGTTCTTCCTAATTTCTCATCTAGAGTAGCTTTACCTACTAGGTCTTGTAGCCAACCCTTTGATCATTTTCCTGGCTGAACTGCAACATCCCCCAGCTGCCTACATTATGGGTGTTGGGGTGGGAATCTGGGGTCTGTCCCCTTCTCTGGATTCTCTGCTTTTCTTCCACTGCCCCCAGCACCGTGGACATAGGGCAAGGATGTTATGCCAGGAATGAAGCAAATGATTGTGCAGTTACTAGGAAGAAAGGGTTTTGTTTTGAGTTGATTTCTGCCTCCCCCAATACCTTATACACACAAGAATCCTAACACAGGAGACTATTACCTTATGGTAACATTACATAACCATAGATTGATCATTACATCCATCCACACCGTTAAAAAAAACCTATATTTATCAAGCACTGACAATGCCCAAGCCCTTAGGTTCCTAAGCACTTCCCATTACCCCATATACTCAAACCAAGAGAGCAGGTAGTATTTTTATCCCCAATATACAGATGAACAGACAGGTTCTGACAGGTAACGTGGCAGGTGGCAGAGTGAGGATTGGCATCTAGGCAGGCCAATTCCATTGCTTTAGTGCCTAAACCCTGGCCTTTCCTGCACTTGCAACTCTGACTTCAGCTGGACCTTCCACCCTCACCACAGATTTAACTTGCCTGAAGCAAAAAACTCATTTTCAAGTGGTGAGCAACCACCTTAAGACACTAACCAGCACACTTGACAGAGATGATTGCTAATGCTCACAACTCTGAGAATAGTTTCCACTTTGCAGAGAAGTTCCCTAGCTCCGTCCAAGTCACAGAGTAAAGAGTGGGAGGCAAGGCTGGATAGGGGAGAGTATGTGGGCTTTAGACTCAGGCTCCTGGGTTTAATTATCATCTGCCACTTACTCTCTGTGTGGCCTTTGGCAAGTTATTTAGCCCCTCTGTGCCTTGGTTTCCTTGTGTACAATGTGGGGACTCATAGGTTATTATGAGGCTTAAATGAGTTCATACAGATTAAACTTTGATACCAGGAGTGCCCAATAAATGATACGCGAAAAAAGTAACAGAGCCAGAATTTTATTCCAAGTCTCTCTGACATCAAAAACTACACTTTTCCCACTACCTTATGCTGCTTCCTACATTTTGAAAAGAAAAACTACACATGAGAGGAAAAAAGGCTAAGACAGCGCACCCAAGTGGTGAAAGTGATGGCATTTGAATGGTGGGAATATGGGGTAACATTTTCTTCTTTCTAGTTTTTAAGTGGTTTTTCAAGTTCCCTTTAGTGAGCATGGAATGCTTCCATAATGAAGACGGGAATTATATCATGACAACCTCCACATTCATCACATTTAGCCGCAAATCATTCCTCTCACCACATTCTCACCTGGTCTCACTGCCCCTGCCACTTTGGAGTTACCTGTGCCCCCTGCCTTTCCTTGGGCCTTCCCTGCAAACAACCAGCCAGCTCCTGACAGTCTTCCCTGGTAATGGTTCCTGATCAGACTTTCCCTGATTTGTTCAGGGACACGGAGATAGTGTGTGGCAGAGGTCACCTCAGACTTCAGGCCTCTTGACTGCCAATCTTGGGCCCTTTACATGATTCTGCCCTGCCTTCCTGCAAAGCATTTCCAGATGATACAGTTTTCTAATTGCTTATTGCAGGCCCAAGAGGAGCTGTCTGGGTGAGTTAACTCTTTTGTTAGACCATGTGGCTCACCCTCCCTCTGTGAGCTTGGGCAAGAGTAGGCCTGGGTTTATGCTACAGGCTTCATTCTCATTTGCCATATCACCAGTACCAACTATTGCTCTTAGGATTGGGTGCTTTGGTGAAAATATTCAGTCCTTAACACCACTGCTAGAAAAGGAACACTGAGTGCCTTGTCTCAGATGGTGATCTGGTGGTTTCTATAAGTCGATGTGGTGGGTTGTCTACAAAGATGGCCAAGACCATACCTCACCTTCCTGTGTGTGCACCCTGCTTCTCCCACCAAGAGGTGGCATCTATCTTCCCTTCCCTTTGAATCTGTAACTTGCTACAACCAACAGAACATGCAGAAGTGGTGCCCTGTGCCTTCGAGGCCCTAACCATATGGCTTGCATTTTTCCCTCTTAGAGCCAGCTGTGATCTAAAGAAGCTTGACTCCCCTGCAGGAGAGAAAGGCCACCTGAAGAGATCAAGCCCCTGGACGATGGGAGACTTGAAGGGGGAGAGAGGAGTGCAGCTCTCTCCCAGCCACCCCAGCTGAGTAGCCGTGTGAAGCCATCTTCTATCCTTAGCGCCAGTTGAGCTGGCTGGCAGAGACCAGCTGCACCTGCCAAGCCCCGCCCAAGATGCAGAATGGTGAATGAATTAAATGGCTGTGTTTGTTTTACACCTTTACATTTTTGGGTGGTTTGCTATGTGGCAATAATAACTGAAATAGAGGGATAATCTATTTACAGACTAAATTTTAGTTTTAATTATTTAATAATCATAAACAATACATTTTATAAATAAATTTCAGGTTTTTAAAAAAGATTTTATTTATTTATTTGAGAGAGAGAGCGTGCACAAGCGGGGCAGAGGGAGAGGGAGAAGCAGACTCCCCGCTGAGCAGGGTGCCCATGTGGGGCTCCATCCCAGGACCCCGAGATCATGATCTGAGCTGAAGGCAGCCGCTTAACCGACTGAGCCACCCAAGCACCCCTCAGTTTGTTTGTTTGTTTTAAGATTTATTTATTTATTTGAGAGAGACAGAGAGCACACCCGTGAGTGGAGGGAGGGGCCGAGGGAAAGAGAGACTCCTCAAGCCGACTCCCCACTGAGCACAGAGCCTGATGTGTGGCTGGATCCCAGGACCCTGAGGTCATGACCTGAGCTGAAACCAGGAGTTGGACGCTTAACCTCCTGAGCCATTCAGGCGCCCCTAAATAAATTTCAGTTTTAATGATCTAAGTCAAAGCCCATGAATTTTCTTGATAATGGAGAACCAACAATTTTTCATAAGGAATTTTGGGGAAAGTAATGTAATACTTTTCAAGGTGAGGCTGCTATCATTGGTGTTTTTATTTTCCATTTTTAAATCTTTATTTAAAGGAGACAGGTTCTCTCGGATGATGCCTAAAAGGGGCATTTTTTTTAAAGATTTTATTTATTTATTTGAGAGAGAGAATGAGATAGAGAGAGAGCATGAGAGGGGGGAGGGTCAGAGGGAGAAGCAGACTCCCTGCTGAGCAGGGAGCCCAATGCGGGACTCGATTCTGGGACTCCAGGATCATGACCCGAGCTGAAGGCAGTCGCTTAACCAACTGAGCCACCCAGGCACCCGGGGCATTTTTTTTTTTAAGATTTTATTTATTTATTTGATAGAGAGAGAGACAGCGAGAGAGGGAACACAAGCAGGGTGAGTGGGAGAGGGAGAAGCAGGCTCCCCGCCGAGCAAGGAGCCTGATGCGGAACTTGATCCCAGAACCCTGGGATCATGACCTGAGCCGAAGGCAGACGCTTAACGACTGAGCCACCCAGGCGCCCCTAAAAGGGGCATTTTTAAAGAATTCTACTAGTGTCAGAAATGCTCACACAATATTCCAGTATGGTAGGTGGCCTCTAAATGGCCAGCAGTGGTCCAGACCCGCTGATATTCATGCCTTTGTGTAATCCCCTCCCCTTGAGTGTGGCTGGTCCTAGAGACTGGCTTCTGGTAAGTAGAATACAGCAAAAGTCATGGGATGTCACTTCCTAGATTAGACTACAAAAAGACTGTGACTTCCACCTTGCTTGCCTACCATCCTCCTCTCAGTGCCCTGGCTCTAGCGCAAGCTAGCTGTCATGTGGTGACTAGTTCTCTAGAGAGGTCCTTGTAGCAAGGAACTGATGTCTCTGACCAACGGCCCTGGCCAGCACCTGACTTGCAGCCTTCTGAGAATCCCTGACCCAGGGGAGCCAGCTAAGCCACCTATTACAACAGTGACAGAGTAAATACTTATTGTTGTAAGCTGCAAAATTTGGGGATAATTTGTTATGCAGCGATACATAACTAACATATTCATTAACTGAAAAAATTAGGATATCAAACTATAAACAGTTTATTTGGTACAACTTTTCAAGGAGCTAATATGACCATAAATATTAAACTCCCCTAAAATTTTACACATCCTTTGTCCTTGTCATTCCACCTCTAGAAATTTCTCTTAAGGGGGAAAAAAAATCATGGAATTCTAACAAAGGAACAGTTACAGGGATGTTCAAAACAGCACATTTAGGGATGCCTGGGTGGCTCAGTTGGTTAAGCATCTGCCTTCGGCTCAGGTCATGATCCCAGAGTCCTGGGATCGAGCCCCGCATCGGGCTCCCTGCTCAGTGGGAAGCCTGCTTCTTCCTCTGTCTGCCGCTCCCCCTGCTGTGCACTCTCTCTGAAAAATAAATAAAATCTTAAAAAAAAAAAACCAGCACTATTTATAAGGCAAAAAATTGGTAGCAGTCCATATATCTAATAATAAAGGATTGAGTAACTATATCATGGAATTGCTGCTAATAGAACAGGTTGGAATCCATTAGTGAATCTTAAAAACAAAGTGACTTGCTGTCAGCATTTGAAAAAAATAAAATGAAATCGATTTGAAAATATCAGAGGAAAGGTAAGTTTTGCTTCATAAGAAATTTTTGTTTCATATTTGTATGTGTATGCATTGTGATATTAAATGAATTCCTTACTCTGAATCATGGTTGAAATTTTAAAAAAACTCTGCAGTGTTAAAAATAGGTATGTATGGGAGGCACCTGGATGGCTCAGTCCCTTAAGCATAGGACTCTTGATTTTGGCTCAGGTCATGATCTTATCGTGGTGGGATCGAGCCCCACATCAGGCTCCATGCTTAGTGGGGAGTCTGCTTGAGTTTCTCTCCCTCTCCCTCTGGCGTCTATTGATTACATAAGCGCACTCATTCTCTCTCTCAAATAAATAAATCTCTTTTTTTTAAGATTTTATTTATTTGACAGAGAGAGAGACAGCGAGAGAGGGAACACAAGCAGAGGAGGAGTGGGAGAGGGAGAAGCAGGCTTCCCCACGGAGCAGGGAGCCCGATGTAGGGCTCAATCGCAGAACCCTGGGATCATGACCTGAGCTGAAGGCAGACACTTAACGACTGAGCCACCCAGGCGCCCCTCAAATAAATAAATCTTAAAAAAAAAAAGATATGTACAAAACTACTTAATGGTACTAAAAGTATTCATTTAAAAAAAAATTTTTTTTTAATTTATCTGACAGAGAGAAAGAGAAGTAGCAGAGGGAGCAGGCGAAGCAGACTCCCTGCTGAGCAGGGAGTCGGATGTGGGACTCCATCCCAGGACCCCAGGATCATGACCCAAGCTGAAGGCAGACGCTTAACCAACTGAGCCTCCCAGGCGCTCCTACAAAAAGTATTCAAAAGATATTAAATTATAAAACAGCATGCATATGTTACAAAATGATCTAATTTCATGAAAATCCAAAACAAGCAAAGCTCTATGAAAAATGGAAAATAAATACACCAAACAGATCATTTATACTTTTATCTATATTTTAAAATTTTCTACAACAAACATGTCTTCTTTAAACTTATTTCTTGAATAATAATAGTTTTTAAAGTTTCCCAAATAATTATATATTGTATATTAGCATCTTCTCAATTATGTTATATATGCATAGAAAAAAGACTAGAGGGCACCTGGGAGAGAGAGAGAGGGAGCACAAGCAGGGGAAGCAGCAGGCAGAGGGAGAGGGAGAAGCAGACTCCCCGCTGAGCAGGGAGAATGACATGGGGCTCAATCCCAGAACCCTGGAATCATGACCTGAGCCGAAGGCAGCTGCATAACTGACTGAGCCACCCAGGCGCCCCGAAGAAGAGGCATTTAAGAACAGCCTAGTTCTGATGGTGTCTGCCTGTGGCCTATTTTATCCCACCACTGGACCTAGGGCAGGCCAGGGGAGCAGGGCAGACACCCTAGCCTCTGCCCAGGCCGGCACCCTCTTTGTCTGCCCACCCTGATGTGGCCCTGCGGTCTTGGTGCTTTTTTCTTTCCATGTTATCTTGGGGCATGATTCCCTTATCTTGGGCAAACTGATTGATGAATGGTGACACGCGTAGGCCAGTGAGACGTGTGTGAATGCAGAAATGGAAGAATGTTAATAAAGAGCCTTACACATACATAATGGGCATAACTCATTTGTGTGCCATTGAGCTTCATGGGGGCCATTCTGCATGCTCTTGCAAAATCTCCCCAACCTCCAGTTTAGAGATGAGGAAACAGGCTCACAAAGTCTCCATGCGTGAACCTGTGTCCCTGTGTGGGTGTCTATGAAGTTTGCCTATGTTGTTGTATCCCCAGTCCATCACCAAGTCCTATTAAATAGTACCCCTAAGTAGCTCTCCACTGTCCTCTTCTCACTACTGACAATTCTACCTCCCCCAGTCAAGCCCTACAGCAGTGGTCTCCTAACTGATCTCCTTCAGACTTTCTGTATCCTCCAGTTCTCTATTTAACAGGCAGGGTGATCTTTTGAAAATTTAAATCTGAACATATTGGCCTATCCCACCACTGTTGCTTAAGATTTTGCTGTGACTCCCAATGTGCTTAGGATAGAGACAAAATTCCTTAATGTGGATCACAGGGCCCTGTGTAGATACCTCTACCCCTTCTGCCTCATGACTGTGTTTCCCCTCCCTCCTCTCTCTGTTCTAGCCCCATTGACATTTTAGTCCTTGTATTCAACATCTCCCTCCTGCCACAGGGCCTTTGCATTTGCTCTGACTTCTGCCAGATCCACTCCTGCTGGTCCCTGTGCCTAGTTTACTCCTATTCATCCTTCAGAACTCAGTTCAAACTGTTACCACTTGCTAGGTCACATCCTCGGTAGACAATCTTATTTTTTCTTTTTAAAGATTTTATTTATTTATTTGAGAGAGAATGAGAGAGAGAGCATGAGAGGGGGGAGGGTCAGAGGGAGAAGCAGACTCCCCGCCGAGCAGGGAGCCCGATGTGGGACTCGATCCTGGGTCTCCAGGATCATGACCTGAGCCGAAGGCAAGTCGCCCAACCAACTGAGCCACCCAGGCGCCCCCTCGGTAGACAATCTTATAGCATGTTTTGCCTTTATTTTTTTTCCAGATCACTAAATACAGTTGCAGCTTTACATTTATTTGATTAGTGATTAACATTTGTTCATTTTTATACTCGACTATAAGTTCCATGCAGACGGGGACAATTTCTTTTGGATCACCAATCCCCAGGACTGAGCATAATGTTTGGCCTAGTAGAGGAGCTTATAAAATCTTTGTTATTAAGTGAATGCGTTAATGAATGAATAAAACCCATTGAGTCTTCTGATCTGGTTCCTTTTCCTGGAAGGGCTCCCAAACTCCTCACAAGACAGGAAACAGAAGATGGAGAGAACGATCATAATGATGTCTGCCCATCCCAGAGTGTAACAGGTCATCAGAGTAACAGCTGAGTCTATGGGCTGCATTTTAGAGGCCTCCCGCTGCTCATTTCTACCCTCTTCCAAAGAGGTCCAGGAAGGAAACCACTGCAGAGAAATCCCTCAGCAAGCCTTTGGCAGACAGAGTCTTACCAGGAAGGCGGAGAGTGAGGAGGCAAAGAAAGAAAGGGAATGGATGGCTCCATGTTTCGGACATCATGTTTACATATAACAACTCATTTAATCCTCCCCCAAAGCCCTATGTTGCAGATGAGAAAATGGCCTCAGAGAGGTTGTGAATGTGAAGGTTATAAAACCAATGCAGGGCAAAAAGCTGAGTTTGAACTCAGAACTGTCAGTCTTCCTCCAAAGTCTGGGCTTCTCCAGGCTACTTTCCTGATGTGCAGCCCTCAACCATCTCCCCCACTCTATCAACTTAGAGCCCCAAAGTTTTTCATCATTAAAGACTCATCTATTGGAGGCGGCTGAGTGGCTCAGTTAAGCGTCTGACTCTTGATTTCGGCTCAGGTCATGACCTCACAGTGTGCGCCCTCTCTCTCAAATAAATAAATCAATCTTGGAAAAGACTCATCTGGGGGCGCCTGGGTGGCTCAGTTGTTAAGTGTCTGCCTTCGGCTCAGGTCATGATCTCAGGGTCCTGGGATCAAGCCCCCCATGGGTCTCCCTGCTCAGTGGAAAGCCTGCTTCACCCTCTCACACTCCCTCTGCTTGTGTTCCCTCTCTTGCTGTGTCTATGTCAAATAAATAAATAAAATCTTAAAAAAAAAAAAAAGACTCATCTGTTGGCTATTATCTAAAGCTCTCTTTCAGGAGTCAGTATATGATGGTTTTAGTCAATACATTGGAACCAGAAACTCAATATTTTATTTTTAAAGATTTTATTTTATTTGAGAGAGAAATAGCACAAGCAGAGGGAAGAGGGAGAAGCAGGCTCCCCACTGAGCTGGGAGCCCGACGTGGGGCTCATTCCCAGGACCCCAGAACCATGACCTGAGCTGAAGGCAGACCCTTAACCGACTGAGCCACCCAGGTGCCCTGAAACTCAACATTTTATTATTTATTATATTTTATTTTAATTTTTTAAAGATTTTATTTATTTATTTGACAGAGAGACAGCTAGAGAGGGAACACAAGCAGGGGGAGTGGGAGAGGGAGAAGCAGGCTTCCCGCCGAGCAGGGAGCCCGATGCGGGGCTTGATCCCAGGACCCTGGGATCATGACCTGAGCCGAAGGCGGACGCTTAACGACTGAGCCACCCAGGCGCCCCGAAACTCAACATTTTAGAAGCAACTACTGCAAGACCTAAAAAGAAATTTATAAACAAAAATTGGAATGTAGAAAGTAAAAGGGGATGACAAAGTTTCCCATTCTTCATATTGAAGAGACCAGAGATACTGTCTAGAATGGACAAATATATGATATTACACAAAGGGATAAATGGTGCTTATAAGAGAATTAAAAACAGAAGCTGTTGGTGCGGTTGCTTCTGGAGAGTGGAGCTGGGGAGAGAAACTTTCATTTTTCATTTGTTTGTCCTTATTTTTTAAAAAATACAGTGTTCTGGAACTCTTCTAAAAAGTTTAGAAATTTTTGTTACAGGGTGCCTGGGTGGTGTAGTCAGTTGAGCGTTTGATTGTTGATTTCAACTTGAGTGATGATGTCAGGGTCATGGGATCGAGCCCCGAGTCAGGCTCCATACTCAGCAGGGAGTCTGCTTGGGCTTTTCGCTCCCTTTCCCTCTGCCCCTCCTGCTTTCTCTCTCTCTCTCAAAATAAATAAATCGGGCACCTGGGTGGCTCAGTTGATTAAGCGACTGCCTTCGGCTCAGGTCATGACCCTGGAGTCCCGGGATCGAGTCCCACATCGGGCTCCCTGCTGAGCAGGGAGTCTGCTTCTCCTTCTGACCCTCCCCCCTCTCATGTGCTCTCTCTCATTCTCTCTCTCGAATAAATAAATAAAATCTTAAAATAAATAAATCTTTTTTAAAAAGGACATTTCTGTTACAAAAGACTAAACAAAGAAACATACGCTTCCTTTAGAATGCAAATACTGTATGTTTAGAACTATTAGTCTTGTCACCTGGGTAAAAAGTTAGGTCTGTGTGTTTCCTCTGTGTCAGGAAGGAGCTGAGTCAGGGGAGGGTCATGTGATGATAAACATGGCTTCCCAAGCAGTTGCCTCTGGGGACCGGGCACGGGAGATGAGCTTGATGAATTTACCTTTGCAAGCACAGGGCCAGGCTGACAGAGGAGCACCTCTTCCCTCACATATGCATAAGGCAGCTCACATTCAGACACACCCAGACCCAAGAGGGTACTGACCCGACGAGGGCCAGAGATAACCATTCCTCTATCCTTGGTGAGACTCTGCCCCCGCCAGTGCCCCACTCTGAGCAGGAGCTCCTACCTGCTTGGGACTCTGCTCCTGCAGGATCCATCTGACTCCAGTTCCTCAGGGCCCAGGTGGATCTAGTCCCAGGAAGATGGGATGCCGAGGGCTCTCAGGTGAGGGTGACTCCAGTCCTGTTCCACAACTGGCCATAGAGCACCGATCAGAGCCCTGCACCCCTCAGGACCTGAGCATCCCTTCTTCCTCCCAAGGCGTGGCACGATCTTAACCTTTGCTTATCTGAAGTTTATATCACTTTGAGCTCCAGCAGCTGCAAAAAGGAGGGCTGGGGCACAGCTCGGGAGTGCCACGCACTGGCAGGAAGGAGCCTGGAGATTGGCATTCCCAGCACCAGAGAAAATCCTGTTGATCTTTGATCCTCCACCCCTCCCGGAGCCTTGGCCCTGCCCCTCTCCCCCTTCCTTTCTTCCCTGCTGGCCTCTCCCTCTGTTCGGCTCCTCACTTCCCTGGCGCCCTTTCTCTGACTGGCAGTTTTCCCCAGGTCCTTGCTCACACCAAGCCTTCCATGCTGTCTTCAAGCCCTACTTCCTGCATGTCTCCCAACCCTGACAGGGAGAACCCAAGTAAGAAGGTCCACTGGACTTCTGGGAGGATGAGGACGTCATCCATAGACTCAGAGTCAAAGCCCCACTCCGACCCCTCCAAAGTAGCCAGGTCCCGGAGACCCAGCCGGCTGACGGTGAAGTACGACCGGGGACAGCTGCAGCGCTGGCTGGACATGGAGCAGTGGGTGGATGCGCAGGTTCAGGAGCTCTTCCAGGTGAGTGACACGAGGCAGCGAGGGAGGCCGCGAGGTGCCGGGGAGAGTGCCTGCCTGAGACCTCAGGAGGAGCTGGAGGGCCAGTGTGAGATGCTCCCACGGAGGGAAGGCTTCTCCCAACAGGTGAAGATAGATTTGCAGTCCCGAAATCCACCTCCCTCTGGTCTGGTCCGGTCTGGTCTGGGCTCTGCCTCTAATGCTCTTCAAAATCTGTGCCAGGTGTTTTAACTTAGTTTCCTAATCTATAGAATGAGCCTATCAATGCCTGTCATATCTCCTTTGTGGGACTTTTTGAAGCTCAAGTGAGATAGAAGAGCTACTTTTATGTATTTGTCTTGCTCTCAGCCTCAACACACCTGCATGCCAAGAGCTACATTGTCCAGTACTATAGCTACCAGCCATGTGTGGCTATTGCCCTTCAAATTAATAAAAATTAAATAAGATGCAAAGTTCAGTCCCTCATTCACACTGGCCACATTTCAAGTGCGCCGTAGTCCCATGTGGCTATTGGCTGCCATCTTGTCAGCACAGATGGAGAAACATTTGTATCCTCTCAGAGTGGACAGCACTGAACTAGAACAAGTCCTTGGCCCTGGCTCTGCCTGACTCCCCTCAATTCCCCCTGAGAAAAGGACAGGTCTCTGCCCCTTGTCACAAGACGTGGCACTTTCTTCCTCAGATAACTGAAAATCGGGGTCCTAGAGCAGTAACAACCGCTGTGTCAACAAGGAGAGTAACATTCTGAACACTTAACTCTGTGTTAGGCACAGTGCCTCACGCTGGACATGCATTACCCACTCGGCCCTCCCCACCGCTCCCTTAGGTAGATATGTTTTACTGTGGAGGAAATGGAAGCTCAGAGATGTTGAGTAACAAATGAGCCCAAGGTCACACGACTAGGAAACCAGGAGACCAGGAGCTGCAGCTGGGGCTCTGTGCCTAGGCACTTAGGCGAGCAGCTTAGTGGTTCTCCACCCATGAAGTACTTCAGAAAAAAACCTGATGACCTGACTGCACCCCAGTTTGACTAAATCTATTAGGGTGGGGCCCAGTCACTTGTCTTTTTTTATAAGCTCCACCGTTAATTCTAGCATGTGGCTGGCTGAGAACCACTGCACCAAGCCAGAGCCCAGGAGTCCTCGTCTACATACCATGGTCCTTCTTTCTCCTCCTTCTTGACTCTGTGCCTATCTTTTCTTTTTGGGGCAGCAAGGGGCTTGTCATTCTTCCAGGTAAGGGCTATGCTGCGGTTGGGGTGGAGGAGAATGATGCCTGTGCCCAGTCTGTCTTGTGAAGCTCACTGGGTCCTGTGTTAGTGTGGTCCAGGTGTCAACCATGTCCCCTGCAGCATCCTGGGCTCCCTTGTGCAGGGGAGGGAGATGCTCTGGAGCTGGGAGCAGGAGAGGCACATTTTCTTGGCCTGCTTCTGCTCAGCCTCCACTGCCCTTCTATCCTGCCAGCACTCTCCCTCTCTGGATCAGTTTCAGTTTCAGATTGTTGTGCACTTGCATAAAAAGTCTCATACTTCAGACACCTCAGAGCAAATTTGTCCAGGCATCAGAGAAAGACACTAGACAAAGAACCTGGTTGTGGAAGATCAACACAGTGGGGAGGGGGAGAGCTGTACAATAATGAGCTCATAACATTGGAAAACAGGATATGTGGGAGGACCACTCCCAGGCAATGACCGAAATAAAATACCTGGCCTGTGGTTGCCATGGCAATTGTCCAAAGGTGCTAGGTGGCAGTTCCTCTCCCAATCCCTGCTCTTTTCAGCAGGAAGCAGCCAAGTGGCTGGGGAAGCCCCAGGTGGCTGGTCATCTTGGGAGAGATTGAGGCAACAGTGTCTCCAGGCTTACCCTGCCCCGGTTCTACCTTCATAGAGCCTGTCTCCATACAGCAGGCTCTCCCCAACATACCCACCTTGGATAGCCCTACGGGCAATGGTTCTAGGGATGTATCACTGCTTGTTCAGTTTGGTTTAATGGGATCCAACCTTACTTTGATGGAGGGCCCCCCTTCTCACTGGGTATAAAATCTGCTTTGGGGTCTTCAGAGGAACCAAGTCTGGGTTCAACAAAACAAACAGACTTGGGGCCCTAGTGCTCCTGTTGTTCAGAGGTGGGGTGTGGATTTGGCTTCTAAGCAAGGATATAAACACTCACCGAGTTTCTCCTATTTTAAGGAGACTCTTGCTCAACAATGCACCCCCCTGCAGTTCCCACCCCTGATTTCATTTCTCCTTTACGACAAGACTTCTTAAAGGATTTGTCCACACTCACATCCTTTACTTACCTTTCCCCTTCCTGTCACTATTCAAACCGCTGAGACCTGGCTTCTTTTTATTTATTTATTTATTTTAAATTTTATTTTATTATGTTATGTTAATCACCATACATTACATCATTAGTTTTTGATGTAGTGTTCCATGATTCATTGTTTGCGTATAACACCCAGTGCTCCATGCAGTATGTGCCCTCTTTAATACCCATCACCAGGCTAACCCATCCCCCCACACCCCTCCTCTCTGAAACCCTCAGTTTGTTTCTCATAGTCTGTAGTCTCTCATGAGACCTGGCTTCTGTTCCCACCATTCTACTGAGAGCTCTCGCCAAGGTCACCAATCATTGTTTTGGGGCCAAATCTAATGTACACGTCAGCACAGGATGCTGTTGACCACCCAGAGTTTTGAAAACATTCCTTTCCTATAGCTTCGATGACACTGTCTTTTTCAGCTGGCATTTTGATGCAACCCTTCTGATGTGGTGACATTTTAAGAAACAATCTATTAAACTTCCAACTTTAAAAAAAATAATGTTAATGAATATGTGAAACAAACACTTGTTAGCTCCTCCCTGAGCCTTACTCCACTGCTGGTTCCCATGGCAGAGAGATCAGGAGGAAAGGGACCGAGGATGGAGTGAAGGTGAGAACAGAGTCAGATCAGGCAGCATCTGGCAGGAGACCCCTTCATGAAATACCGAGTCACAATTTTTTTTTTTAAAGATTTTATTTATTTATTTGACAGAGAGAGACATAGCGAGAGCAGGAACACAAGCAGGGGGAGTGGGAGAGGGAGAAGCAGGCTTCCCGCAGAGCAGGGAGCCCGATGTGGGGCTTGATCCCAGGACCCTGGGATCATGACCTGAGCCGAAGGCAGATGCTTAATGACTGAGCCACCCAGGCGCCCAAAGACTTCTTAAATCAGTAAGAAAAAACTAGACAACCCATAGAAAAATGAATAAGGCAGCAGTTGTTGAAGTATATTCTGGTGACCCTTTCAGAGGGCTCATGGTTATTTTCATAATACTGAGATGTCATTTGCCTTTTTCACTATGTTGACATTTGCACTGATAATGCCAAAACAAGGGTGGCCCTTAGCGTGAATCCAGAAAGTGGCAATGGGGGCACCTGGCTAGTTCTGTTGGAGGAGTATGTGGCTCTTGATCTTGGGGTTGTGAGTTTGAGCCCCATGTTGGGTGTAGAGATTACTTAAATAAATAAACTTTTTTTTTTTTTTAGATTTTTAAAAATTTATTTATTTGACAGAGAGAGACACAGTGAAAGAGGGAACACAGCAGGGGAAGTGGGAGAGGGAGAAGGAGGCCTCCCGCGGAGCAGGGAGCCTGCTGCGGGGCTCGATCCCAGGACCCTGGGATCATGACCTGAGCCGAAGGCAGACGCTCAACCGACTGAGCCACCCAGGCGTCCCTAAGTAAATAAACTTTCAAACAAGAAGAAAAGTGGCACCCACCTGTACTAATGTTACAGGAATTTTTTCCCTTACCGCTCGAGGTTCTTGGTTATGGTGCTTTGAAGAATGAAGATGAAGACCAAAGAGTGGTGGGTAGCAAGGCAAAGTTTATTGAGCAATAGTACAAAGCTCCCAAACAGGGAGGGGACCCGAGATGGTTGCCATCTTGACGTTCAAATCTAGGGGTTTTTGTAAGCTCTTTTGCAGAACTATCTTGAGCATCCGGAGTGTGGGTCCCCTGTGGATTGGCTGCTAAGGTGTGCCAGTCGGGGCTTTGATCATGCTCCCATCTACCTATCAGGTTAGGTCCTTTGGGCTGACATTTGGAGACTAACTGCCTCAATTTGTGATAGTGACAAATATTTTATGTTTCAGTGTTTTGTTTCAGGATGTTTTGCAAAAGTCACTTCTGCAGAGGCTACTAGACAGGATGCTATTGTGGTCTTGTCTAAGCTGTAAAACAGGATGCTGGTGCAGTTTTGTCTTAGCTGTCCCAGCTCCCTGTTTTCTTGTTGGGGACCCTGGCCCTGACTACTTAATTGTCCAACTAACTCGAACACTAGGAATTATGTTCTTCACCACTGTGCCACTTTCACTTAAGAAAGTCCTTGATGAAGCAGTAAATCTCTAAGTTTATTAAAACTTGGCCATTGAATTCACATCTTTTTTAATAGACTTAAGTTTTAGAGCCGTTTTAGGTTCACAGGGAGACTGAGCAGAAAGTACAGAGTTCCCATGTTCCCCCTGCCCCCCACATATGCACAGCCTTCCCCACTAGCAACATCCCCCACTAGTGCAGTACATTGTTACAATCAGTGAACCTACACTGACACATCAAAGTCACCCAAAGTCCATAGATTATGTTAGGGTTCACTTCTGGTGGTGTACATTCAAAGGTTTAGACAAATATGTAAGGACATGTATCTACTATGATAGTATTGTACAGAGTATTTTCTCTGTCCTAAAAATCCTCTGTGCTCCACCTATTCATCCCACTTCCCCCCTTAATCCCACTCCCTTTTTACTGTCTCCATAATTTTGCATTTTCCAGAATGGTGTATGGTAGGAATCATACAGTATGTATGACTGGCCAATTTCAGATTGGCTTCTTTCACTTATTCTATGTGTTTACGGTTCATTTAGGTCTTTTCATGGCTTGACAGCTCATTTCTTTTAGTGCTGAATAATATTCCATTGTCTGGATGTGCCACAGTTGATTTATCCATTTACCTACTGAAGGACAGATTGGTTGCTTCCAAGTTTGGCAATTACGAGTAAAGCTGCTATAAACATCTTGATGTAGCTTTTTGTGCAGATATGTTTCCAACTCACTTGGGTAGATATTAAGGAGCTTGATCACTAGATCATATAGCAAGAGTGTGTTTAGTTTTGTAAGAAACTACCAAAATGCCTTCCAAAGTGGCTATACTATTTGGCATCCCCACCAGCAATGAATGAAGGTTCTTGTCATTCCATATCCTCACTAGCATTCGGATTTGGATTTTTTGCCAATTTGTAGGTATGTAGTGTATCTCATTGTTGTCTTAATTTGCAATTTCCTAATCACATATGATGTTGAACAATTCTTATGCGATTTGCCATCCACATATCTTCCTTGGTGAGGTATCTGTTCAGATCTATGGCCCATTTTTCAATTGGGTTGTTTCTTTCTTATTGTTGCATTTCAAGAATTGTCTGTTTTGGACAATAGTCCTTTATCAGACACATCCTCTGCAAATATTTTCTCCCAGTCTGTGGATTGTCATCTCATTTTCTTGAGCTTCTTTCATTTTTAATTTTATAAACTCTGTATTGTTTCAATTATTTCACTGACTATAACTTTTATTTTTTTAAATTTTTTTAAAGATTTTATTTATTTATTTATTTGAGAGAGAGAGAATGAGAGAGAGCACATGAGAGGGGGGAGGGTCAGAGGGAGAAGCAGACTCCCTGCCGAGCAGGAAGCCCGATGCGGGACTCGATCCAGGGACTCCAGGATCATGACCTGAGCCGAAGGCAGTTGCTTAACCAACTGAGCCACCCAGGCGCCCTGACTATAACTTTTAAAGATAGGTTTATTGAGATATGATTCACATGCCATACAATTCACCCACTTAAAGTGTACACTTCCAATAGTTTTAAGTATCTTCAGGGTTATACAACCACAATTGGATTTCGGGACATTTTATTACCCCAGAAAGAAACGCTGTACCAATCAGCAGTCACACCTCATTCCTTACCACCACCACTCCCAGCCCGAGGCAACCACTAATCTACTTTGTGTCTCTGTGGATTTACCTATTCTGGACATTTCATATAAATTGAATCATATAACATATGGACTTTTGTAACTGGCTTCTTTCACTAATATAATGTTTTTAAGGTTCAGCTATGTTGTAGTATGAATCAATGCTTTGTTCCTTTTATTGCTGAGTAATGTTATATGGCTACATTATTTTATTTATCCATTCATTGGTTGATGGAGATATGTGTTGTTTTCACCTTTTGGCTATTATGAATAATGCTGCTATGAACATTCATGTGCAGATGTTTGTGTGGACATGTCATTTCTCTTGGGAGTAGCCCTAGGAATGGGATTGCTGGGTCAGATGATAACTCTATATTTAACATTTCAAAGACCTGCCAAACTGTCTTCCAAAGCAGCTATACCATTTTATATCCTTACCAACAACGTGCATAACTTTTGAAATTAAACAGGCACTCTTTTGGGGGCGCCTGGGTGGCTCAGTCATTAAGCATCTGCCTTCGGCTCAGGTCATGATCCCAGGGTCCTGGGATCGAGCCCCGCATCGGGCTCTCCGCTCCGCGGAAGCCTGCTTCTCCCTCTCCCACTCCCTCTGCTTGTGTTCCCTCTCTCGCTGTGTCTCTCTCTGTTAAATAAATGAGTAAAATCTTTTTTTTTTTTTTTAAAGATTTTATTTGAGCCGAAGGCAGATGCTTAATGACTGAGCCACCCAGGCGCCCCGAGTAAAATCTTTAAAAAAAAAACAGGCACTCTTTTTTTTAAGATTTTATTTATTTGTTTGTTTGTTTGTTTATTTATTTATTTGAGAGAGAGAGGGAGGGAGAAGTAGACTCCCCGCCAAGCAGAGTGCCCCATGTGGGACTCAATCCCAGGACCCTGAGATCATAACCTGAGCTGAAGGCAGATGCTTAACTGACTGAGCCACCCAGCTGCCCAAACAGGCACTCTTTTTAAAGAACCCTAGCCCTGTTTCAGATAGAAAATAGGTCCTCAGTAAGTGTTGAATATAAGAATGAACGGGTGGTTTGAGGAAGGTGAGGAGACGGACTGAACGTGGGAAGCAGGGTAGGAGATGGGGGAGCCCCTGACAGTGACTTTCACTCCAGCACCAGCTGGCCAGGCCCCTCTGAGCCCTATGTGATTCCCAAACAGGATCAACCAACTCCTTCTGAGCTTGAGATTGACCTGGAGGTTCTCATGGAACTATCCACAGAGGAACAGAAGACTCATTTGGAGGTAGAATGTGGGGCTGGGCTTAGAGCAGGAAGAACCCAGGAACCCAGGTTTTGAGTGGCATGGGGAGAACCAATTCAGAGGGGAGGATTCCTGGGAGGGCTGAGTGGAGGCTTGTGGGAAAGTGCTGTGGCTTGGGGACCCATTCTTTGCTCTCTTTCACCCAGGCTATTCTCCAAAACTGCCCCCGTCCCACAGAGGTAAGGGATGCTCTGCAGGTCCGGGGTAAGAGGGGCCCAGAGGGGAGGCAGCTAATGAAGAAGAGTGTTTCAGAGGAAGGCTTGGCCCCCCATTCTTCTCCCCTTCCCCAGCTCTGGAGACATGCGGTCGGGGAGATTAGGGAGGGCAGTGTGGTGGGTGGGTGTGACCCCATGCTTTGATCTCACCCGTTTCTCTCTCAGCCTTTTATCTCTGAGCTGCTCAGTCAACTCAAGAAACTCCGGAGACTCAGTCGGCCTCAGAAATAAGCCTTGTGAGACTACCTTCAGCAGCCTCAGCACTGCCAGGCCTGCCCTGAACCTCTGAATCCTGGGCTGAGAGGAAATGGTCCAGTGGGACACAGACAAGGAACATGGAGGATGAGGAGGGACATTTGGATACCCCTAGTGTATGTGCAGTCACAGCTGGGCTTTCTGGAAGCCATTCATGGCTGTTGCCCAGTACTTTCCAGCCAAGTGGATAAAACCTTTGGGAGTCCCAGCTGAATGGAGTGTGGAGCATATCTTTCCTGAGGGATGGGGAGGGGAGGGTAAAGTGATATACCAGAGGGCCAGCATCCCGAGCCACCAGGCTCTATCCACACCTCCTCCGTCCATCTATCCAAATTGGCCTTGAGAATTCAAAGATCACAATTCTGCTTTAGAGCTCATGATCTAGCAAGGCCCAGAGGCCAAACAAGAGGGCACCAAACTAGGACACACAGCATCCTGCATCACCAACAACAGGAGCCCAAGTGGCAAAGACTAGTTTCGAATCCCAGAGGAGAGGTAACAGGGAAAACCTAGCTGGGTCTGGGGATATCAGGGAAGGCTAAACCTTTCTATTCCCCCTGAATCAGGAGGCATCAGGCTGAGGACTGTCTTGAGCTGGCTCCAGCCAGCAGCAGAAAGAGAAAAAGCAGGAGCTAAGCAGAGAGGTGTAAAGGGTACAGGCCGAGAGGCCTCATCAGCATGTTGCTGGAAAGATCTGGGTCTGAATGGCTGGCAGGCTGGGACAGGAGCTCAGGGAGGTGGCATCCTTTGGGAGTAAGGCAGAAAGCAGGGTAAGCATTCACTGTTTGTGCATGCGCTGAGTACGAGGGAGGCTGAGGAATCCAAGATGGTGGGGCTACGCTGGGCTGCCCAGAGCAGGATGCACAGTTCAGATCAGTTGAACGAATATCCACTGCCTACTTCATATGAGGCTTCCAGGGTGGATGGGACTGTTCCTGCCTGGAGAAGCCTGCAGGATGGCCCCACCTTTTTCCTCACTCCATAGGACTGGACTTTGAGTAGAAATCCTGTTCTTGCCACCTCTCCAGGGGCCCAGGCTCAGAGCCCACAGGGTTCTAGAGATAAGAGTTGCTGGGCTTAAGACATCAACATTTTTTATTAGATCCACTAAGTGCCGGGGAAGGGCCCTGGGCCCTTGAGCAAGTTTCAAGGCTCATCACCCTTAGATTCAGTCTCGTCTCTTCCCTACCACACCTCATTCCCAGTCCAGGCTTGGCTGTTGGTGGGCTCCTGACTTCTGCCTTTGCTCTGGCTCCCCCCAGTTATCATCTCAAATGGAGAGTCCTTCCTTCCTTCCAGGGACACTGAGGCTCAGGAAAGGGCGCATCCATGAGCAATCTAGGCTGACTCACTCTCCCATTGGGTGCCCTGAGGCTGGGCCCAGAGGTGGGCTTGCCTGCCTGGTTTCCTCAGTGCTCTCGGCCTGAGCGCGGTGGGCAGTAGGGAGACGTCTGGTGCTCTTTAATTTCAAAGGCATCGTGGCCTTCCCTGTGGAGCAGAGAGAGACAGGTCAGGGGTCATGGATGGCCCTCGACTTCTCCCAGTGGAACAGAACATTCCACCCGCCCTCACCGGAAGCAGCGGGCGCAGTAGAGGTCCCCGTCGCAACCAGTGCAGCGCAAGATGGCGTCCTCATTGCAGATGCAGCACCAGGGGAGCTCCTCTTCCTCAGCCTCGGGCCTGGCAGCCATGGCCTGGGCCTGCCGGGACCGGAGAGGAATGGGGGAGAGAAGTAAGATGTGTGGGAGACTGCTGCAGGAGCAGCTGGCCAGGCAGGGAGGGAGGCTGTGGTGGCGGCTGGTGGCTTTTCTCACCTCAGGCTCTGCCCTGCAGGACTGGGCCCGGGCTCGGAGAACGGGCTCCACAGGGATGTTAAAGCCACTTGCCTCATCCAGGGCAGCTTCTTCCGTAAGCTGTGGACAGGGCGAAGAGGTGCAGCTCCCTGTTCCAGGCCTAGACCCTGACCCTCTTCCCCACAAGTATTTCTGTGCTCTGTGGCCTTAGCTTCTCAATCCATCTCCCTTATCTATTGCCTGTGGCTGCTGATACCCCATCTCCAGGGGCCAGTAGGCAGGTCTGGGTCATAGGGACAGTGGGGCCCCAGCCAGAACAGGAGCTGCAGAGAGGCCATTCAGCACGAGAGTGGAAGCAGGGTGAATGGGGCCGGGTGGGGGGTGGGGCAGTGAGACAGGGACAGGACAAGGCAGGGTCAGGTGGGTAAGGCAGGGCCCACCTGCCGCAGGACTCTCTGGATGGCTGTCTCCTCGTCCTCATCATCATCACTGTCTGGGAGGTGATAGTCCTGGAGGGTCACTTGAAGAAGGAACGACAGGAGCAGGGGAGGAGGAGTAACATGGAGAGAGTTCACCTGAGTAGCTGTAGTTTTGCCCCCAGGAGCTGGTTGGCTTTCCAGTGGCACTTGTTCCAGAGCTAGGCAGCCTCTGTAGCCACTGATCAGATCCTGCCCTTCCCTGCCCCACCCTGCAGGGCTGGGGGACAGGAACAGAAGACTTTGCACCTGAAGAGACTGGGGGTCCCGGGCCCCTGATGCCTGCTATGTATTACTTTTCCACTCCTTTGCCCCAGTAAAGGAGTGGCTCTCGTGGCTCTGGGCAGAGCTCGAGACCCCTGGGCACAGGAAGTCCCAGCACCTGATTCAGCGTGGCCGGGAGTCGCCATTTTGTAGAGGTTGGCCTGGGGGTGGGTGGGGGGGCCTGCCCGATGGACATGAGTGAGTTGCTGCTTCCCAGCCCCTACCTTTATCAGGGTCCTGGCCCTGAAGCACAGCCAGGCGCTTGGCGAGGACCAGGATCCTCTCCTGCCTCGTGTTCTCTTCCCGCAGCTCGATCGCTGCCTCAGCCAGCAGCCTGCTCTTCTCCTCTTCCAGGGACCAGGTGGCCTGCCCCGTGGAATTAGCGCTCTGGCCCTCTGGGCCACCTCGGTTGAGGTCATTCTGGACGGAGGCGGCTGGAAGGAGAGAAGCAGTCAGGGAGGCAGAGATATTCCAAGATCTCTCATCAGAAGCCAGTGAGCCCATTTCTCTACTTCCTTTAAAAACCATAGATTATCAGCTTTTTGTTCAGCATTAGCTCCTGTGGTTTATATTACCAATAAAATCTATTTTTCCTCCATTTTTCCAAATGTAAAAATACTAGTAATCTTAGACATGTTTTTTTCCAACTACATCCATCCCCACTCCTGATATTTTTACATGTTGCCCTTAGGGTGGGTATTCCACAGTATGAGCATCACTCCCCAAAAAGATGAGGATATGGGGACACTAAGCCTCAGCCAGTCTCTCTGCCTTACAGGCTGGCGTGAATATTTCCAGGCAGCAGCACAGAGAGGACATGAGAGATCAGGTTCTTTATGGCCCTAGGCAGGAAGCTTTCTACGAGAGTGGGTGTGGCTCTGACATGGTCCCCTTTAGCTCAGCGTTTCAGAGCAGGAGATTCAAAATCAGACAGCTCTGGGTTAAAGTCCCAGCGCTGCCACTTAATACCTGTGACCTTGGTCAAGTTCCTTAAGCTCATCAGGCCTCAGTTTCCTTGTTTATAAAATATGGATAATAATAGTATGTACAAGATCATGGAGAATAGTCAATGAGATTATATCTCTAAAGCAGAGCTTCTCAATCTTGGTTCATTGATATTTTGGACAGGACAATTCTTTGTTGTGGGGCCTGTCCCATGCCCTATATGATGTTGAGCAGCATCCCTAGCCTCTGTTTGCTAGATGCCAGTGGCACGCTCTAAGCTGTGACAACCAGAGAGTCTCCAGATATTGCTATATGGGCCCCCCTGGGAAAATCATCCCTGGTTAAGAACCCCTGCTCTGAAGCATTTGAAGAGCGCTGTCCAGAATTTTTTATAGTAACAGAAATGTTCCATATCATTGTATTTGTGCTGTCCAAGACTGTAGTTCAACAGCATTTCAAATGTGGCTAGTACCATAAGGAACTGAGTTTTAAATTTCATTTAATTATTATTAGTTTTTTTTTTTTTTTTAAAGTAGGCTCCACGCCCAGTATGGAGCCAACGCAGGGCTCAAACTCACAACCCTGAGATTAAGGCCTGAGCTGAGATCAAGCCTAACCGACTGAGCCACGCAGATGCCCCAAATTTCATTGAATTTTATTTATTTATGGATTTATTTATTTATTTTCTAAAGATTTTATTTATTTATTTATTTATTTATTTATTTATTTTTAAAGATTTTATTTACTTATTTGACAGAGAGAGACACAGTGAGAGCAGGATCACAAGCAGGGGGAGAGGGAGAGGGAGAAGCAGGCTTCCTGATGAGCAGGGATCCCGATGTGGGGCTCGATCCCAGGACCCTGGGATCATGACCTGAGCCGAAGGCAGACGCTTAACGACTGAGCCACCCAGGCGCCCCAGATTTTATTTATTTGACACAGAGAGAGAGAGATAGTGAGAGCAGGAACACGAGCAGGGGGAGTGGGAGAGGGAGAAGCAGGCTCCCCGCCGAGCAGGAAGCCCGATGCGGGGCTCAATCCCAGGATTCTGGGATCATGACCTGAGCGGAAGGCAGACTAACGACTGAGCCACCCAGGTGCCCCTCATTGAATTTTAATTAAATTCAAATAGCCTCTTCCTCATCCTTATCATTAGCATCATTGCAGAGAACATTCGCTGAACACTTACTATAAGCCAGGCAGGGCCTTAAGTGCTTATTAGATTATCTCACTTACTTCTCGTGATTTCCCTGTGAGGTGGGTTTTACCACATACACCTCCATTTTATAGCTGAGGATAGGGAGACTTAGGTCACAAAACTTTCTCAGAGTCACAGAGCTAGTTTAAGTGGTAGAATAAGAAGTCACTGTCTGATTCTAAAGCCCGCACACTTATCCACGAGGCTTACACTGACTCCTGTTGGACTAAACTGTAGTTTACAATGTTGATTGGTCTCTGATTTATATTTGTGTCCCAGAGGGTGGGCAGCAGAGCCCGTCCTACTTGGGAAGGAGTGGGGGGCAGGTCCCTGGGGGACCCAGGTGGAGAAGTTACCTGGGCCTCCTCGTTGCCAGCTCTCATCAATAGCCACCTTCGCGGCCAGCTGTGTCAGCAGATCCTGTGCCTGTTGGGCTTGGGTCCTGGTGTCTGGTGGCTGATGTGCCTGCTGAGAGGAGGGAACTTCAGTGGGGAGCCAGGGGAGGGGGGAAGGCAACACTGTAAGGTGCAGAATAGTCTAGGTTAGGGGTGGATGCTGAAGAGTTTCCAAAGCTCAGGGAAAGGAGACTAATCCAGGGCCCATATAGATCTGGCCATTCTTTCCTGCCCCACCCCATCCTACTGCTTGTCCCTGGTTCCTTGGCCTCGCAGCAGGCCTGAGGAGCAAGAGGTGAGGATGGGAGGTTTTGCCAATTCCTACAAAGTACATAAGTATACATGTATCTGGGCTTCTGCAAGGTCCTTATCCTAGGACCCCTGTCCCCCCAAGTACTCACAGGTTGGGGGGTCTGGGAAGGTGGAACTCTGCCCTGCAGTGCAGCAAGCCGTGCCTCCATCTCCTGGGTGGAAGGGATGGAACCCCGGGGTTCATCCCTCAGTGCAGCTAGCCTGGCTTCTATCTCCGCCTGTGAGGCCACTGACTCTGAAATGGGTATGGAGAAGCCCTGTAAGATCCCGAGGAATCCTAGTCCCAGGAGGCGTGGATGGTATCTTTTAGGTCACCCAGTCTGCCCCCACTCACTGGGCTTGTTCTGCTGGCGGAGCCGCGCTAGGCGCTCAGCAATGACTTGGTCTTGTTGGATCAGTCCCTGGCTCTGGACAGTGCTGGGCTTCTGCTTGGCTTCCAAGGCAGCCACACGCCTGGGAGGGTATGAGATTAGGCTCTTGAAGAATGCAGAAGGGAGGGGTGAAGGCACCCACTTGCCGTTTCCCATTCAAATCACTTCTAGGCATCCAGGGCGGCCTCCAATGGACAATATTCTGTGGTCCTCATTCATGTCACCCTGCAGCCCAATCCAGCTGACCAATCGAAGGGTCTGGCTGAGAGGACAAGGTCTACCAAGAAATGTTTCTGGAGAGAGGGCTGATGAGCTACTGTCTGAGCCCAAGAGGGCAGTCAGGAGGCTGAGAGATGATTTTCTCTGGACCCTGTGCTCATCTGATCTAGAGGCTGGGAAGAGAGTCCTACCCTATGGCTCCTTTGTCTTTTCCCCATCCCTATTTGTCTCTGTCTGTTCAGCACTTACTTCTTGTAGTTCTGAGGTGGTGACCACTTGGAGGCATTGGCAGGAGAAGATCCTCTATAGAGAAGATATCTGGTATCAGAAGTCCCGCCATCTGCCAGTCAGTACCTCCCACCCCAAACACTTCCTGAGCTGATCTCTCGCCACAGAGCACAAAGCTGTGTGGGCTGGCCAGCCGACTGGTACCATGCTTGGCTAAACCCTTGACCATGTCAACTCACCTGGTCAGGACCTCGTGGCACTGCTTGCAGACTTTCTGTTGGGTATTCCCAGTCCGGGGCACCACTGCACTGAAGCTAAGGCAGCCAGAACAGAAGGCCCGGCCACAATTCTTACAGCCATACTACAAGAAACATGAAGTAGGAGGTTCCATCTCTCACCCACCCCTGCACGCTCCTCCCTGGGACTCTCCAAGCACACAGAGAGGGAAGACACTGAAGTTGTGACCAGCTGCTGGGAGGAGGATGAGGAGTGGGGCCCCTAAGGCCTGGGGAGAGACAGGGGTGGAGGGTCTTTTATTCAAATCAAGTAAAGCTTTATGCAAAATTCCCATGCTTTCTACCCTGTCTTCAATTCCCCAATGCTGGGGTGTAGAAAACAAACAGGCAAAACTTCATGCTGCAAGTCACTGACTCTTAACAAAGGAGTATCAGAGAGTGCAGAGCCCCTGCCTTCTCTGCCTTAGCAGAGATGGAGGGTGGCTTGGCTTCAGTATGGGATAACAATGGCCTCCATTTATTAAGCACTTACTGTGTGCCAGGCACTAAATTCAGTACTTAACAATCATGATCTGATATAATCCTCAAAATTTATACACACTACTTTACTTAATCCTGATGACCACCATTAATTATTATTACTATCTTAGATGCGGTCAGAGAGGTTACATGACTTGCCCAAACCAAGGTGTTTCCATGAATAAGACAGCAGAGCTCAAATTTGAACCCTGACCACCCTGATTCCAAAACCCAGGTTTCTAAGTGCTACAGGGATCTGCATCCCTACTGCTATTCATTCATCCAATCTGGTTCCTATCTCCTGGTCACAACCGAGCAGAGGAAACCTATAGTTTACCAGGAGAACTTAGGGGCCTGTGCAGAGGACAAAAGAGGCTTTGCCATGGTGCCCCGGGAGCAGGAAGAAGGGCAGTAATCTAACTCAAGAAACCTGGGAAGGGCAGACTGCATGACGGTGAAGGTTTCAGAGCAAAGGGAGTAACCAGCATAGAGTGATGGAGAGTGGTCACAGGATAGTAACTAACACCGGGCTGCGGAGGAGCAAAGTGGAGGGAACGAAACAGCTGCATCTTATACTTGGTGGAGAGAAAAGCCTACCTTTCTAGAAAGGACAGGAACGTGCTCTACAGTTTATAGGGCACTTTCACCTCCAGCACCTCTCTGAACCCTCATGTCAACCCCGAAAGGGAGGGAGCGTTAGCCCAATTTTACAGAAATGGAAACTGAGGTTCAGTGACTTCATCAAAACCACACAGCTGGAAAGGGGCCATAAAACCAAGTCTACGGACTTCAAGTCCTGTGCTTTTCCTCCACTCCGGTCCTCCCTTGGCCCTCTAGCCCGCGGGGGGAAGACTCGCCTCCTTCTTGAAGAGGGTAAACTTGACAGCGCAGCCGTAGCACCTACTCTCCATTCTGGCGGCCGGCGAGGCGCCGCAGGTTCCACAAAACTGAGAGATCGCGACCGCCAGGTCCCGAGACCCTTGGACTTTCCCTAAGCCCCGCCCTCGCCCCACGCCTCTTCGCGCGGGCTTGCTGCGGCCTCTGGCAGGAAAATCGCGGTCCACGCTAGCCGGAGAGTGGTAGCGGCAGACGCGGGGGCTGCTGGGAGGCGTAGTTCATTCACGACTGCTCCCTTCCTTCGGAGGCAGTCAGGCCTGATCCAGAACACATTTCCCAGGGGGCTAAGCGCCATTCAGTCAGTTTGGGATGACAGTCCCCGGAAATCCCTACGCACGCTTAGACTCTTGGGAGTTGTAGTACGAATCCAGTCAGGGTTGGAACCATGGCGGTGACCAAAGAGCTCTTACAGATGGACCTGTACGCGTTGCTAGGTATCGAGGAGAAAGCAGCGGACAAAGAGGTGAGAACGGTGGTGAGGAGGGCCAAATCCGACTGGCCTGCTGGCCCTTCGTGTCTTGGCGCCTCGCCAGCGCTGGTACCCGCTTTCCCGGTTCCGCCGGGCCCTAGGGAGGGGAGTGGGGGGCGGCCCGACGGCCTCAGAGGCGGTTTCCCAGACGTTTCCTGGGTGGTCTGAGGGCCTCACGAAGAATTGGGGTGCACAGAAGGGAGGCTTCTAGCGCGGAGTACTGTGCTCTTCCTCTGGCCCTTGCCTAGGAGAGGCACCTGGATGAGCCTGAGAGGGAACCCGAGTCCCCTCCCTGCGCCTGCGCAGTGTCAGCCTCTGAGTCCGCTTTTGCCTTTTTTAACTTGAGGTTACTTCATAGTCACCCCCTGAAGGCTGACTGAACTCCGCTTAGAGCGTAGGGCGGAAAAAAGACCTGTCTCAAGGCTCCTGTACTCTCTTGTCATCCCTTTCTTGACAATGTGACCTGTGACTCTGCCATCTCTGTTTTCCATCCCAGCCCGTTGTTGCCCTCTGAAAACGTGCTAGTGGGCTCAAAGCGGGAGGATCAGAAGAGTAAAGGCAGAGGGCCTGAAGTTCCACGGGAAGGTGTTGATAAAGGTGCCAGGCAGTGGAATACTAACTGATCAAGCTGTAATTAGGATTTCTGTTATCTTCTGGATAATGGTGGAGGTTGTAGCAATGTAGGAAAGGGAGGCAGATAATTCATCAGATGAAAACTAATGCCTACGAATGGCCCTGTACTTCATGAGCTGTGTGAGCTTGTGAGAAGCAGCTCTGGGCAGAAAAGCAAGGAGATCAGTAGGGTCCTGAAGGAGGGATGCCGTCAGCCTGCACGTCACTGTCTCCTGCGACTGCAGCTGAAATCAGAAGTTGGCCATGGATGTGTACAGAACACCAAAAGCTTCTGCTACACCTGTCTCATAACTCTTAAAATTTAATATTAATAATGCCCAACACCTATATAGTACTTACTATGTGCTGGGCACTATTGTGAGTGCTCTACATTTTTTTTTTTTTTCAAGTATTTATTTGACAGAGACACAGCGAGAGCGGGAACACAAGCAGGGGAGTAGGAAAGGGAGAAGCAGGCTTCCGGTGGAGCAGGGAGCCCCATGCGGGGCTCGATCCCAGGACCCTGGGACCATGACCTGAGCCGAAAGCAGACGCTTAATGACTGAGCCGCCCCAGAGTGCTCTACATTTGTAAATTTAATTTGTACTTCATTAATAGTGAGAAATTACTTTGGACATTTTGCACCAAATCCCGCCAGTGTGTTGGAACCCCGAAATCGAGAACTTTTGAGGAAGGCAATTGGGAGCCGTTGATGTGTATATCACTCAGAGGTGGAGGTGGGTGGATGAGCTGCCACTAAGGGAGTTGGGTGAGGCCATTGTCTAGACAAGATACCAAGGTCTAAGCAGGCCAGTATCCAGTTTTCACTCAGATGAGATAAGGAATATGTGAGAAGGCTCTTTATAAAGGGTAAAAGGTGCTGTTCCTACCTGTTAGTAGGGGAGGCACAACTATAATATAAGGGAGAACATAGTAAATTCCTTAAGAGGGTATTATAAATGGCCAATAAGTACTTGAAAAGATGTTCAGTGCCCCTAATCATTAGGTAAATATAAGTCAAAAACCACAATGAGATACCACTTTATACCCATTATGATGGCTATTATTAAAAACAAACAAACAAACAAACAACCAAATACAGAAAGTAACAGGTGTTGACAAAGATGTGGAGAAACTGGAACCATTGTGCATTGTTGGTGGTGCATCTGCTGTGGAAAACTGTGGTGAGTCCTCAAAAAATTAAACATAGACTTATATGATTCAGGAATTTTACTTCTGGGTATATACCCAAAAGAATCGAAAGAGACTCAAATAGATATTTGTACGTCCATGTTCATAGTAGCGTTATTCACAATAGCTAAAAGGTGGAAGCAACCCAATTGGCCACCATTTCTCTTATGTGAGGTTCCTCTTACATGAGGTTCCTTGAGTAGTCAGATTCATGAGATAGAAAATAGAATGGCGGTTGCCAGGGGCTGGACGGAGGAGGTGGAATGAGAAGTTAATGTTTAATTGGTACAGAGTTTCAGTTTTACAAGATGTAAAAAGTTCTGGTGACTAATGGCAGTGATGGTTACACACTAATGTGAATGCACTTAATGCCACAGAACTGTACACTTAAAAATGGTTAAAATGGTGGGGTGCCTGGGTGACACAGTTGGTTAAGCATATGACTCTTGATTTTGGCTCAGGTCGTGATCTCAGGGTTGTGAGATCGAGCCCCACATCAGGGCTCTGTGCTGGTCATGGAGTCTGCTTAAGATTCTCTTTCCCCCTCTCCCTCCAACTCGCAAACCCCACCCCCCTGCTCTTGAGCCCTCTCTCTCTACAAAAAAAAAAAAAAAAAAAATTTACAAATGGTTAAAATGGTAAATTTTGTTATGTATATTTTACTTTTTATTTTTTAAATTAAAAAATTTATGTATGTATATATATATATATGTGAGAGAGAGCACGAGGTGCAGGGGGAGGGGCAGAGAGAAGGAGAGAGAGAGAATCCCAAGCAGGCTCCATGCTTGCCTGATGCGGGGCTCAGTCTCTCGACCCTGAGATCATGACCTGAGCCAAAGTCAAGAGTCAGAGGCTCAACTGACTGAGCCACCCAGGCTCCCCTGTTATATATATTTTATAACGAAAACAACCAACTAACCAAACCAAACCAAAACCAGCACAAAGAAGAATGTTTGACAAAGACCATATGTGGCCTCCTAAAATTTTTGGCCTTTTACAGAAAAAGTTTGCCTACCCCTACTAGAGTTAGGGGCAAGGTCAGCTCCACCTTTCTGTACATGGAACTTCCCCCTCTGCCGTCTTCCTAGTGTAACAAACCTAGGAGCCCAGAGTGGGCTAAACACCACCATTGGTGGAAATTTAGAGATTCAGCAATTCCTAGGTAGAGATTTTTGTTCCCATTCCAGCCTCAGAGGAGATAAGCAGGGCACGGTATTATCTTCTTGTAGAAAAGCCTTGAATTGAGGACCTGGGTTTGGTGTGGAAGTGCTCCTGGGGAGAGGATCATGCCCTGGGAATTCAGTCCCTTGCTAGAACCTGAAGCAGTGAGCCCCTTATTCTTACCTGCTCATGTGCGTATGTGTGTGCATGTGTGCATGGGTGCTCGCCCTTCCCCCTCACTCACTCACTCAGTCTCTGCTGGGGCAGGGCCCCAAGGTTTGCCAATATGAAGAGTATGTCATGAATTAATGCCATTTGCAAACCCTCAAGAGATTCTGAATTAATCTCAGGAATTACCTGGGCGACTGCAGTGGCCTTCTAGCCCTTTTTCTAGTTCTGCTCTTGCCCCCTTGAGCCTCTTCACACAGCAGCCAGAGTGAGCCTTTAAAAATGTGAATCAGGGGCACCTGGGTGGCTCAGTTAGTTAAGAATCTGCCTTCGGCTCAGGTCATGATGTCGGGGTCCTGGGATCCAGCCCCACATGGGACTCCCTGCTCAGCGGGGAGCCTGCTTCTCCCTCTCCCTCGGTCCCTCCCCCTGCTCTCGTGCTCTCTCTCAAGTAGATAAACAAATAAATCTTAAAAAAAAAATGGGAATCAGATTGTGTCACCTCTGCCCCAACTCCCCAGTGGCTTCTCATCAGTCTTAGAATGAAACCTGGGAATGCTTGGGTGGCTCAGTCAATTAAGAATCTGTTTTCTGTTCAGGTCACAATTCTGGGGTCCTGGGATGGAGCCCCACATCAGGCTCCCTGCTTAGCGGGGAGCCTGCTTCTCCCTCTCCCTCTGCCCTTTGCCACGCTCATGCTCCTTTTCTCTCTCTCTTTCTTTCAAATAAATAAATAAAATCTTTAAAAAAAAAAAAAGAAAGAAAGAAACCTGAAGGCCTTCTCCGGCCTGTGGGGCCCATGTTACCTTTCCTTCATGTTCCTTACCATCCTCCCCTTGCTCACTAAGCTCTTGCCATCTCAGTCCTCCTGTGACTTCTTTTTAAATTGTGCTAAAATATGCATAACATAAAATTTACCATCTTAACCCCTTTTTGAGTGCACAATTCCAGTGGCATTAAGTACATACCCATTGTGCAAAAATCACCCACTGCCCATCTCCAGAACTTTTCCATCATCCCACACTGAAATTCCATAGCATTAAACATTAACTCTCCATTCCCTTCTCTACTATTCTACTTCTTTTCTCTGTAAACTTGACTATTCTATGTACCTCATGTAAGTGAATGTACAAATATCATATATTTGTTCTTTTGTGTCTGGCTTTTTTTACTTAACAGTTTTCTCAAGTTTCATCCATGCTGTTGCATGTATCAGTATTTCCTTCCTTTTTATGTTGTTGTTTGTAAAATTTATATATATATATATATATATATTTTAAGATTTTATTTATTTATTTTTAAAGGTTTTATTTATTTATTTGTCAGAGAGAGAGAGAGCACAAGCAGGCAGAAGGAGAGGGAGAAGCAGGCTCCCCACTGAGCAAGGAGCCTGATGTGGGACTACATCCCAGGACCCTGGGATCATGACCTGAGCCGAAAGCAGCTGCTTAACCAACTGAGCCACCCAGACATCCAAAGATTTTATTTTTTTAAGTAATCTCTACACCCAGCGTGGGGCTGGAACTCACAACCCTGAGATCAAGAGGTGCATGCTCTATCGACTGAGCCAGCCAGGCACCCACCCATTTTTAAGTTTGAATAATATTTCATTGAATGTATATACCACATCACCACATTTGGTTTATCCATTCATCTGTTCACAGACATTTAGATGATTTCTACCTTTTGACTGTTGTGAATAATGCTCCTGTGAACACAAGTGTATAAATATCACTTTGTCAATTCTTTTGGATCTATACCCATAAGTGGAATTGCTAGATCATATGATAACTCTATGTGTAATGTTTTGGGGGAACTCTGTACTGCCTCCCACAGCAGCTACACCATTGTACATTCCCACC